ATCTGACAATAACGTTCCAGAACTGATCTTCAATGTGATGAAGTGCTTAAAATTTACGATCAGACATAACGCGATGTATATATAGATAAATAGTAATAACCATTTACCATTTTACATATTTACCAGAGGGAGACTTTGTACAAAAGTCGTCTGCTTGGGTACCTCTGTCCCATTCGTGTTTTACCGTGAAGCAGTTGTGTTTGCATGGCTGCGTTTCGGTTTGAAGGGTGCCATATGGCGTGAATTTACAGGGTACAGAGGAATAACACCTGAGTCTTCAGGAATGGCAACGCATGGGGGGTATCATGGGCGAAACAGTATACTCTGTTATGTCAATGGTACTGCTCATGTCTATAGGCGACGGTTACCACGGTTTTTATATATATTAATAAAAATAAATCGACCACTTTTTGTGTTAAATACCAGAAATATGTAGCAATAATCACAAACTGTTTAACATTATACTCATTAGAAAACTCCTTGTTCAGTACGCCGGTAGCAATTAGTAATTTATAATGCCTACGAGACAGCTCAAGGTCTTAATCTTAGTCAGCGGTTCCCAAACTTATTTTATCTACTGCCCACTTTGAGAATAAATTATTTTTTAACGCTCCCATTTTTTCACCTACTTTTTTTTATGCAACTTAGAATGGCAAAGCCCACCTGATGGAAAGTGGGAACCGTCGCCTATAGACATGAGCAGTACCATAGACATAACAGAGTTTTCGCCCATGATACCACCTATTCGTTGCCATTCCTGAGTACTCAAGTGTTATTCCTCTGTACCTAGTAAATTCACGCCATATCCCACCCTTCAAACCGAAACACAGCCATGCAAACACAAGTGCTTCACGATAGAAACACGAATGGGACAGAGGTACCCAAGCAGACGACTTTTGTACAAAGTCTCCCTCTGGTAAAATACTTGAAAAACTTAAAAATCACTATCACTGCAAGATCAACAAATCACCCCCCAAGCCTCTACACAATGCTCCCATTTTTTTTTGGGTCTCTTACCCCCACCCTTTAAGCCTGCAGCGCCCACAAGGGGGCGTTCTCGTCCACTTTGGGAAAGACTGAATTATATTATTGACTAGCCGACTTGAGGTTTCTGATAACAGTTTTAAATTTATAAAAGGCAGATACAAAATTATCTTCGGTATTTCATTATAACATTTAATGCCCATTCCCAAAAGACCTATTATTTTTTTCTAAACAATGATTTGGAACAGTAAAACGGAATAGAAAATACGCACATTAGTGTAAACTTTTTATGGTGGTTTTGTGTATGCTAGTGTTATGTTTCGTTTTGTTTTTATGCCCCATACATCCATCCGAAACATTCCCATCTCTGCCAACCGGAATCGTCTTTCATTCATTACCTTTAAAGACCAACTAGCGGCCCGTCCCGGCTTCGCACGGCTAGACATTTTTATAACATTTTAAAAAGTGGCTATTGTGACATAACGATAATATTTGGACATATAGTGTCGCGAAGTTTTTTGTAGTCATTGATATTTCCTTCAATATTGTAGAACATACTTTTGTTCTATCACCAATAGTTTCCGCAGCGCACGCGACCAAAGATATTTTATAGCATTTTTTTTACACCTCGAGTTACGTTACTAAAGTTTTAGTAAGGATCCCCTAATGTTTTCTAACAATAAATATAGCCTATGTTACTCAGGGTGAATGTAGCTCTCTAATGTTGAAAGAATTTTTGAAATCGGCAAAGTAGTTTTCTGACTTTATTCATTACAAACATACATACACACAAAAATACAAATCTTTCCTCTTTATAATATTAGCGTAGACATACCTACAGATCTATGCTGTGTGCTCAAGGCATAGAATGGACCACCATTTCCTTTCCCATAGGCGTAGTAAGAGGCGACTAGTTGAATATAATCGTCGACGGATGGGCAACAGAGTTTCCCTTATAACATAACCAAAACCTAACTGTGGTTGTCGATCCACCTGCTAAGCGTGGCAACTAATAGCAAAACTCCTTAATAGAGGCAGGCCTATATCCACCAGTAGACAGGTAATGGGTGATTTAATGACGATTTAAATCCATGTATAAATACTCCACCTTGTTTTACAACACACGGGGCAAACGAGCATGCGGCTCACCTGACGGTAAGTGACTACCGCCGCCCATGATCACCCGCAACACCAGCGGCATTGCAGGTGTGCTGCCGGCCTTTTAAAAAGGAATATACTCTTTTCTTGAAGGTTAACGATGTCGTATCGGTTCGGAAATCATTATAAAGTACTTGTCTTGACATAAATATTGCATCTAATGCGAATTGTATAAATTATATTAATTAATTAAGCTTATAATTAAGCTTAGTAAATGGACTTAATAAGGCTTATATAAGTGTATAATAACTGTGTTTTTTATTTACTTATTACTCATGACTTCATGCTTTTTTTATTCAACTTAGAATGGCAAACAAGCTGACGGCCCACCTGATGGAAAGTGGTAACCGTCGCCTATAGACATGAGCAGTACCATGGACATAACAGAGTATACTGTTTGCCATTCTAAGTTGTATAAAAAAACAATTTATAATGTACATTTTAGACAGTTCTGTTTCAATTACAGTTGTAAATTAACAATGCTAACGTGTTAATTTTAAATGGGCTGGCAGTGTGCGTTGTGGGAGTTCACACGGATAAGCACGGTACTTTAAAACTTTATCAGTGTGTTACATTAAAATTTAATGGAAACTTAACCAGGCTTTTTCCCGTGGTGGGAGGGAGGAGGAACGGTTTCTTTTAATAGTTGATAATTGAATGGCCTGCGCTATTGGTATACGTTGGAGAGGTACCAGGCAAACATGAAAGGTAAGGATAAAAAGGCAGGTTAGTTAGCCCATCGTGACGAATTCAATGATATTAATGAATGATTTTAAAAAAAAAATTCTATATGGAACAATCTATAAGTAAATCCTTTTAAAAAAAAAAGGATTTTCCAAATCGACTGTTCACAACTGACGGAGTTATGAGGTGACAAACGTAAAAAATAGGCGTGTAGGTCCCTGCGTAGAATAGGCCATCCCTTCCATTCCCGTGGGTGTCGTAAGAGGCGACTAAGGGACGGCGAGGGATGGGCAGCAGCGTCTCTCTTAAAACATCACCAAAACCTAACTGCTGTAGTCAACCTGCTTGCCAAGCGTGGCAACTACTGGCAAAACCCCTCTTATGGGGGAGACTATGGATATATGCATTGGAGAATACCAGAGGGAGACTTTGTACAAAAGTCGATTGCTTAGGTACCTCTGTCTCATTCGTGTTTCTACCGTGAAGCAGTTGTGTTTGCATGGCTGTGTTTCGGTTTGAAGAGTGGGATATGGCAGTGAATTTACACGGTACAGAGGAATAACACCCGAGTCCTCAGGAATGGCAACGCGTGGGGAGGTATCATGGGCGAAACAGTACACTCTGTTATGTCCACGGCACTGCTCATGTCTATAGGCGACAGTTACCACTTTCCATCAGGTGGGCCGTCAGCTTGTTTGCCATTCTACGTTGTATAAATAAATAAAAAAAAAAAAGAATCAAAGACTGGTACAATAAATATTAAAAAGGAAAATATATATATATATATATATATATATATATATATATATATATATATATAATTGAATCGGGACCCTCCATTTTTGAAGTCGGTTTAGAATGATAATGCCTAGCGCTGCTGTATGCAGCATCACGCTTTATTAAGTCACCCCAGTAGTTGTTAAAATCATTCAAGGTCGAGGACCATATTTTTCCATAGTATGAAATTTGTATGTACTTGTATGAGTCAACTAGTGATGTAGGTAAACATTTAAGATACGGTTCCATTAATGCGACTTTACAAACGCTCCATGCATTATTATTATTATCTACACATATAAATAAAATTAGACCGTCTGTTTGTAATATTGAAATAAACGTTTTTTTACTACATCTATATGAATATATATACGGTACATACACCAAAATAATATTTTTTACAATTTTTGTCTGTCTCTCTGTTTGTTCCGGCTAATCTCTGAAATGGCTGGACTGATTTTGACGTGACTTTTATTGGCAATTGAAAAATTCTTTTATTTTAGAAAAATAATGTTGCAATGTCCAAGTAATGCCTGGTACCGCGCGCAGTTTACGCGCATGCCACGCGGACGAAGTCGCGGATACAGCTATTGTCAATAAAAATATAACTTAATTTGGAATAAGTAAAAATAAAATTAAATTAAGTAGGTATAATAATAAAAAATATATTAAAAAATTAAAGAATCGACTGTTAGGCGGAACGAAGTTCGCCGGGTCAGCTAGTTATTTATATATGTAAGAAAGAAAGAAATGTTTTTGTTCAAGTTAACTTAGAGTTAAGCGTTTCTGAATAGTCATTTTTCATTACTTACTTACTTATAACGTTGTTTCTTTTTTTTATACAACTTAGAATGACAAACAAGCTGACGGCCCGTTTAATTATTGTGAACATATCGTTGGTGTATCTTTTATAAATAAATAAATGTAGGTGTATAGAATTAGTTTATTTGCATAAAAAAAAGTTAGTTTTTTTATGCAACTTAAAATGGCAAACAAGCTGACGGCCCACCTGATGGAAAGTGGTAACCGTTACCTATAGACATGAGCAGTACCGTGGACATAACAGAGTATACTGTTTCGCCCATGATACCTCCGCACGCGTTGCCATTCCTGAGGACTGAGGCGTTATTCATCTGTACCGTGTAAATTCATACCGGAATATGTTTACTGACCATGTATGACAAATTTTTTAGTGATTGGTTTAAACCTTAAAGGCGCTATAAGGTAATAAACAAACAAAAAACTCTTCACATTTATAAAATTAGCCCATTAAAATAATAAGAATTATGGTCTTTCTGTTTTATATTGTTTTATTAACTATATATAGTCTAAGCTTCTACCGGACGCGCCAACGAAAACTCAGCTTAACACGCGTACCGGGCTTAGATATAGAACATGAGACCGCTTCAGTGTCCAGTTTGTGGTGAGTTTCATAGCTGATTAGTCGCTTGCTGAGATCGCCAATTTGTGAAAAGTTTCAATTAAAAAAAAAAATAATGCCAGTGGTACCAGTCGTCAAATTCGAGAATGGCTACACTTGTCCCGTCATCGGACTTGGCACATGGAAAGTGAGTACTGCCAACTTATTTAAGCAATTTAAAAAAAGAAAAAAAAATATTTTTGTATTTATTTATTCTTTATTGTACACAAAAAATTACAACATATAATACATATAAAATAAAGATGTACAACAGGCGAGCTTAACTCTGTAAGAGTTCTCTTCCAGCAAACCCTGAGTGGAAAGGAGCATTAATTACTAGCGGGCAGTGTGCGTACAATAATAGGAGGAAATATTATAGATGTTTCTATTAAAAAATAATAAATATGTTGACATATATAAGAAGTTTATATTAGGGTTATAAAAAAAAAGTCAAACGGCGGGAAGAGAAATGAATAGCTGTTTATATTTTAAAGAAATGTCATAATTTAGAGTCTTAAGTGAGGTGAAAGCCAGCCAGTATTAAAAATTATAGATAAAGGTCAAAATACAGGTCAAATCGAAATTGCTTTTTTTTTTAATGAGAGAAAATAAAATTGTAACTTCGCCCGTTCTATCGATACACGCTGGCGGGGCATCAGGGATGATAGGGGAGAACGAAAACAGGTCAGTTGACCGTCTTGACAAATTTATCAAGAATGGTTCCAGGGCGAACCACGTGTTTTTTTTTTACAATCCTCCCCCTAGTAGGACGTGCGCCTCGACCGGATATTAAGTTTCTGTTTGGAAAAGGCCGACTTGTTACGGTATATTACTAGCTATGGGGCTATTGGACCCCATTATTAACAATCCCTTTCCCCCTTGCTGTATACGAGTATACTGAGTTACACGGGCGAAGCCATACGATATTACAAATGTAAACAAGTTTGTTACCTCTTCTTCCGAGAAGGAAGCGCTTCGATGGCTTAATCCGTCGTTTCAGAGGGAATCATGATCATTTGCTGAATGGATTGATACGACGAGCTCACGATATTGGGGTCGCTTCTGAAGCTGAGGCCATTTCTCCAAAACAAGATTTCCTAAATTTTTTGCAGTCACGGACCATTTACATAATTGAGATAGTGTTAAAAAAGATTTCGCAACAGAAATTTTTGCAAATAGAAAAATGTTTATCCAATATTAGGGGGAAAAAATTGCATCAGGGGTGTTCTTCTCTAGAAATCTGTCCGACTCTAGAATAAAGGCATACGCCCATATACGCGAGTATGGGACCCCGGCCTCCCGAGCCGCTGCAGTGTCCCAGTCCTTTCCGCAACTGCAGTGTCCCCTCTACTTTCCTTTTCCACATAAATCCCTTGTTCCTCTCATTTACCAAATTCCTTTACGCATTTCCAACGTTCCCTTCCTTTTTTCCTCAATTCTTCCCTCCATACTGTAGGTGGCGCAAACCACAAACAAATGTATTCCCAAAGAGGGTTGACGTCAAGCAGGCGTCCGGTCGTAAAACTGTAAGCCAAATCTTTTTGTAATATGGATAAAAAATATATCACGCCGACCACAAATAATATTGTATTGTATTGTAAAATCTTTATTGTATATAATGCATACTGAATACATTAAAATATTTAATATACAATGGCGGACTTATCCCATAAAGGGATCTCTTACAGTCAACCTTTGAGAAGCTGAAAGAAAACTGTTGAATGTACAAGGGTAATAACCGTACAGTTAAAGATAAACTAAATAATACCAAGTAAAAAATTGAATATATAATACAGTAAAGAAATAATTATATATACCTACATATGTAATAATTGGATTAAAGCTAAGAACAAGGAATTACATAGAAGGAGTGATAAAATTGTCACTTCATAGCAGGCTAGTGTACAGAAAATGTTATACGGCCATATAACCCTACCAAATACAGATACAACCTGCTCGCATACTGTTTACATAAACTGTGTCGAATATATAATCTAGTAATGTAACATTTGTCATTGACAAATAATTGACATACCAAACATTGTCTATACACCGGCCTGCTATGAATTGAGAAAAATAGCAACTGACGCTGTATCTTTGGTCCTCTTTTTACTAATTACATATGCATGAGAAGAAAGGAGGCAACCATATGATTTACAGTTTTTATTTTAACATTCCTTCTATGTAATTCCTTGTTTTTAGGGAAAAGGGCAGGAAAATGATGATAATTGGGGGGAAAAAATACTTAACCTGGCAACACTGCTCTTCAACCTGTCTAATATTGTTCTAACCATCCAATTGCAGCAAAAGAATACGTAAATAGTTGATAATTGATAACACCTTGGTAATTTAGTATATCAGTGTTTCTAAAATTAGAAATTGCTAACTCAATTTTAAACCTTGCAATGTTATTATTAACTATTAGATACTAGTTCTATCATGCGGTTTAATTTGCTAAATTGGGGGGTGAGGGGATTGCTAGCAATGGAGTTTGACAGCCCCATTGTTAGTAATGTGCTCTATTAGGTCGATTTCCGCGTGGTTCCCCCTGGAAACCATCGTGAACAATTCTTGTTGAATTCGTCACGATGGGCCAACTGACCTGCTTCATCCTCACCTATCATCCTTTACTGGTGCCCCGCCGGTGTATACCGATAGCACAGGCGGGGTTACCATTCTATTATCATCCATTGGAAAAAATACCTGCTAAATTTGATATTTTTTTATTTATTTATACTACATAGAAAAAAAAAAAACGCTAAAAACGGAGTCAGAAGGATGTTAGAAGTAAAATAGAACACGTCCAGATTTTTCCAAATTATTTGTTTCTCTATTTGTAAGTTTGTACGGGCTAATCTCCAAAACTGTTGGAGCGATTTAAATGAAATTTTGCATGGTGGTACCTTACATCCCCGGTCAACATTTTAGATACTTTTAATTGCGGAAAATTAAAGTGTTCCCGTGGGATAGTTAAAAAACTATAGTAACTTGTACAGCTTAGTACACGACCTACTTAGGTGAAGTCATTTCGAACTAAGGCAAAGAGTGAGAACGACACGTCATTTGTTAATTTTGGTCCAGTGTTCCCGGACATAATGAATAGGTAGGTACATACATCGGTACGTATTAAACAGGAGTACCAAATAGCGAACAAAGTCGCGGGCATGAGCTAGTTTATAACAAGGATAGGTATTGTAAATGTCGTGTGGTCCCAGCGTAGACCAGGCGATCATTTCCTACCCCGTGGCTGTCGTAAGAGGCGACTAAGGGAGGGCGAGGGACGTGCAGCAGCGTCTCTCTTAAAACATCACCAAAAACCAAACTACAGTTGCCAACACGCTTGCCAAGCGTGGTAACTACTGGCAGAACTCTTAGGTTATGGAATGAGCTCCCTGCCGAGGTTTTCCCAAGAGACTACAGCATGGGATTCTGAGAGGTAAAGAGATTTCTTCAGGGTCGGCAACGCACGCGTAATACCCCTGGTATTGCAGGCGTTCATAGGCTGCGGTAACCGCTTACCTTCAAGCGGGCCGTGTGCTTGTTTGCCACTTCAGTGGTTTAAAAAAAACCCTTATGGAGAAAGTCTGTATTCAGCAATGGACTGTTGACAATGCATGTCATATCCTTAGCTGACACATAAAATAGGAGCCGCAGAATCATCGTCTTCCTACCTTAATTTATTTTATTTTGATACTAGCGGCCCGTCCCGGCTTCGCACGGGTGGACATTTTTACAACATTTTAAAAAGTGGCTATTGTGACATAACGATAATAGTTGGACATATAGTGTCGCGAAGTTTTTTGTAGTTATTGATATTTCCTTCAATATTGTAGAACATACTTTTGTTCTATCACCAATAGTTTCCGCAGCGCACGCGACCAAAGATATTTTATAACATTTTTTTACACCTTGAGTTACGTTACTAAAGTTTTAGTGAGGATCCCTAATGTTTTCTAGCAATAAATATAGCCTATGTTACTCGGGGTGAATGTAGCTTTCTAATGATGAAAGAATTTTTGATAACGGCAAAGTAGTTTTTGTGTTTATTCATTACAAACCTACATACACATAAAAAATACAAATCTTTCCTCTTTATAATATTAGTGTAGTTTACATCTGTAATCAACAGCTTATGTCTAGAATAATTAAAAATATAATAGTTACACCATACATTAGACAATTACAGATTACTTTTATTTCAATTAATATTTGGATTCGCTGTAATTTGTTTTTTATTCATAGTACAAAAAGATTTGCCTTATAGTTTTACAACCGGCCGCCTGTCTGACGTCAACCGGATAGGACTCGCAGGGTATAGCTAGTAAATTAATATTAAATCAATAAATTAATATTTAAAAAAAAAAATATTAATTCCCTCTTGCGCCACCTGCCCACTTCTATCTGTTCTCCTCTAACCAAAGGTTGTCTGTAAGAGATCGCCCTAGCGATAACACCGCCTTTTGTACCTTCATGTGTATATTTCAATCTGTACTCCATGCTACTGTATTTTAGTTGAATTGTTTATATGACATTGTTTATTTTTATGTTTTTTGGTGCAATAAAGAGTTAAATAAAATAATAATAAAATCTTTTCAAAGAGATTTCACGCCGGCTGGTAGAAACCTCTGGCGACAAGACGGCTGGCCTATACTTTGGTCAACGCATTTCCATAGCTATTCAGCGTGGAAATGCAGCAAGTTACCTAGGTACCCTACCAGCTGGCAGTGATCTTAAGGAAATTTGTTATCTTAACTATTTAAATTTATAAAAAAAAATATTGATATTTTAAAATAAAATCATTGAGTATATATTAAAGAGACGGATAATAAAATTTAACTGTCAAATCTTAAAATCATTAAACTAAATTTCTAATGTAAGTAGTATATTCATTTATTTTAACATTTATTATATAAGTAGGTAGGTATTGTATGTATTTATAGTGTATGTATTTATGTAATATTTATATATATATTTTAATATTTTATTTAACTGTATATTTGTTTATGTATTCTAAATATTAATAGTTGTAGCACTTCAGCTGCCCGCTAACGAAATGCTTTCTCACTGTACTGGGTTGACTGGAAGAGATCTCTGTCAGAGATAAGTCCACGCTTGCTCACAACATTTATATATATATATATATATATATATATATATATATATATATATATATATATATATATATATATATATATATATATATATATATATATATATATATATAATTGTCAATTGTCCCCAGTCAGCACCAGGCCAGGTGACGCAGGCGGTGAAGGACGCCATCGACGCTGGCTACCGGCATATAGACTGCGCCCACATCTACCTCAACGAAGCGGAAGTGGGCGCCGCGCTCAAGGCCAAGTTCGAGGAGGGCGTCGTGAAGAGGTAAGGCTATTGCGACCAGGGGAAAGCTGATACTCAGTAATGGTCGAGTAAACAATACTGAATGGTTAGTGGGAAAGGGATTGTTAGTAACGGAGATTGAGAATCCCATTGCTAGCAATATAACCAACCAGGTCGACCTCCTTGCGGTTCTCCCTGGAAACTATCATGGTTAATTCCTGATGAATTCATCATGATGTGCTAACTGGCCAGTTTTCATTCTCATCTATCACCCTTCACTGGTGCCCCGCCAGCGTATCCCGTTAGCGCAGGCGGGGTTACCATACCATTTTCACCAATCAAAAAAAAAACACTGAATGATCGGGGGGGAAGGGATTGTCAGTAATTCGGACTACCAGTTCCGTTGCTAGCGAAACACTTTATCAGGTCGACCTCCACGTGGTTCTTCCTGGAGGCCATCGTGCTGGATTCTATATGTATTCATCACGATGCGCTAACTGACCTGCCTTCATCCTCACCTGTCACCACTCACTGGTGCCTCGCCAGCGTATACCGACAGCACAGCCGGGGTTAAAATTTCATTATCGCACATTAAAAAAAAAATATACATGTAGGCAAAGCCGCGTGAGGCAAATTTTTCCATTTTTATTATGATTTAGCATTGAAAAATACATACAACCTCAAATTTTCACTGTTTTACGATCAACCCCTGTTGTTTAATCGCGATTTTTATATTCCGCAATAGTGTTGCAAGATGACAATCGAATATAATAATTGTAGTACGATATATTTTCATGTATAGTTCTAGAAATAATGTATATGGTAAAACAACGTTTGCCGAGTCAGCTAGTATATATATATAAAATTGGCAATATTTAAATTGTTATCAATGCTTATTAATGGAAAAGTTAAAAATAAACAAAATGCAATTTTCGTGAAACGACGATAAAAGAAAACATGTTCAAGTTGATGTTACATTTAAATGTAATTAATTGAAAAACCAGTTTATTTTATCGTAATAAATTTAAGATGTTACCCGCGGTTTTGCTAGCGTGAATCCTTACTAATAGTACATTACTGCAGCAGCCAGCAACTGAGGCATTGATGGACGAACGAGTAATGTGGGCCGAGGCGTAGCCGAGACACACATACGTGAGTACATCAATGCCTAGTTGTGGCCAAGGCTTGTATAGTACTTTTCGCAAACAATGCGCGGAAATCAAAAACACAATTTTACTTTTTAAGTTCAATAACGAATAATGTTCCTTTGTTTTTTTTTCAATAAACAGCTTTCTGTTTGCAAGCTAATTCGAAATTTAAATAAAACCTTGTATTAGTTACCTCCTTGGTAGCCATGTTTCGAAGTAAAAGGTCATTCCATTTTTAAATTACAGGACAGATATGAGTTTACATAGTAATTTATTTGGCCGCATAACACGACAGATATGGATTTTCATACAACTTTTGCCGGCCGCTGCCCGCATGTATCTGGCCAGTACGGCAATTTTGATTTATCTCGAAGAAGATTGTCAAAATAATGCTCATATTCTAAGCATGTTTGAGAAAAATATATATATGTATATATATGTAATTTTAGTATGTATGTATATCAATAATTACTAGTACCACATTCGAGTATTCTGACACTTCCCTATGATTGACTGGGAGAGAATGCTTTCAGCATTAAGTCCGCCATGTACACATATATGTACTAATGAATAAATGAATGTGTTTATTATTTTATATCGCCATAACTGCTAAACAGAGATGAAATTTGGTATAATATTAATACGAATGACCGAATTCGTCTTTATCCCTTCAACTGTGTCATGCAAAATGGTGGAAAATCCACATCTGTGGCGTCCCATGAGCGGACTTTACACAGACTAGATATTTTTAGCGTATAGGTTTAAAAAAACCTGATTTTTCCCGAAGTCTAATTGGATTTATACAAAATTCAAATTAGATTTATATTCCAACTAGATTCCTTGTGTAATTTCTTACACTACACTCGACTTTGAATTGCATTGCAACTGTTCTATGAGAAATAAAATGGGGTCACCTGTAACTTACCTTTTTGTTTTCAATTATTAAAAAAACTAAGACGTTGCTGGATGTAAAATATATATTTTTTGTACAATATTATATACTTGATAGAATAAAAATAAAATGGCTTATGTCCCAATACATTTTTTGATATAGCACTTGTTTATAAATGTGGTGCTGGAGAAGGATGGAGAAAATTAGCTGGAGGGATCGAATTAGCAATGAGGAGGTCCTGCTTGAGGTTAAGGAAAAAAGACAAATTATTAGAACTATTAAGGACAGAAGGGGAAAAATGTTAGGACACTTGATACGACACGACGAACTTATGAACATTATAATAGAAGGTAAGATAGAAGGAAGGAGGGGAAGAGGGAGACCGAGACATAGTTACATCGGGCAGATCAAGGAAGCAGTTGGTGTCGTGTCGTATCGTATCGAGTGAAGGGACTCGCTGACAATCGTTGTGAGCGGCAAGAGCTTCATCGACAAGAGAGCAGCTCTTAAGTATAATAGATAGTTTATAAATATGGACCAAAAAAGTCCCTCTTCAATTGACACTTAAGTGGGTCTCATATTTCATTATTTTACGTACATCCTTGACGTCAGGGAAAAGAGGTGGTTTGTTTACAATAATTTAAGCTTGTCGCCAAGCTAGTTTAGACGAAACAGTATATATGACATTATTATCTATATGCCCGCTGAGCGGACGCGACACAGTTGAGAGGATAACGTACTTTTTATTTCGATGGGTGAAAATGATATGGTAACCCCTCCTGCGCTAACGGGATACGCTGGCGGAACACCAGTGAAGGGTGATAGATGAGAATGAAAACAGGTTAGTTAGCCCATCATGTTGAATTCATCAGGAATTAACCATGATAGTTTCCAGGGGGAACCGCGATTAGGTCGACCTGGTTGGGTATATTGCTAGCAATAGGATTCTCAGTCTCCATTATTAATAATCCCTTTCCCCCCAGGTTAACGTACTTTTACTGGTGCCTAAGAGGGGGAAGGGACTGTTAGTAATGGATAGTCCCCATTGCTATCAATATACCCTATCAGGTCGACCACCACGCGGTTCCCCCTGGAAACTATCGTAACTAATTTATCATTGAATTCATCACAATGGGCTAACTGACCTGCCTTTTCATCCTCACCTATCACCTCTCACTGGTGCCCTGCTAGTGTATACCGATAGCACAGGCGGGGTTACCATGTTATTTGCACCTATAAAAAAACCTTATAGCGAACATATGTAAACCATATAACGACGCTCATCAAGCCGACCTTGATATATTTAAATTCAGTTACAATCAATAAGGCAGACAATTGTAAAAAAAAAATATATTTGAATAATGTAATATTTAGATGCTTCTTAATTAACTTTTGTTTTGTTTTTTATTTAACTTTTTTTTTTATGTTCAATTTTTATCACTAATAGTTGCAACCGAATGGTTTCGTCGCAGTCGCGTTTATTATTGGATCGTGCTGTGCGCACATGTTGTGGCAAGTTTACATGATCAATACATTAATGTACTTGCATGTTACAGTTTAAGTTTGTATTTGTTAACTTCTGTTATATGCGCCTAATAAATAAAACAAAAATATATGTGAGGGAGAAGGGTATAGGCTACTTTTTTTTTAAATGAATAAATAATGAAAAAACAATAACGAATATTTTTTTTACAATTTTTTTATTTTTTATTTTTGTTTTTTATTTGAAATGTTTATTCTTTTTACTTTCTTTTACTTCTATTTTATTCACTTGAAAAGGTTTACTGGAAAAAATAAACTCTTATTAGAGATAAGCTCTCCTTTGTAAATGACGTTTAAAATAAATTGTTCTTAACATTATGTTTGTGTACAATAAAAACCAAAGAAAGAAAGAAAAAATAATAATGAATAAAAGAACTAATAAAGGAACGAATGGAAACTCCATCGTTCCCTAACAAAAAGTTCCATGATTTATTTGTATATTTGTTACACACTTATTTCGTTAGATACTGATATATTTTATTGTATTTATTTATCATTGTATACTATACAAAGACTGTTACAAAAAGTCCATTTTTGTTTTTAATTTCATTTCTTAAAAATTTTCCCGTACAAAATTCTTTACCTAAAACTTGGGGGAAAATACGCAATCTGGCAACACTGTTCGCGAGCTATGACAAGGTTAATTAGTACAGACGATGTTTGTACAGACGGACGCCATGACAGACATGCTTCTGTTTATTTATCACTCGACGAATACGGAATAGATTCAGTCATTTTTAGATCAATTAGAACGGTTTTTTTTTTACAACACAGCGGGCAAACGAGCATGCGGCTCACCTGACGGTGAGTGACTATCGCCGCCCATGATCACCCACAACACTAACGTCATTGCAGGTGTGCTGCCGGCCTTTTAAAAGGGAATATGCTCTTTTCTTGAAGGTTATGTTGTCGATGTTTGTTGTGGATACGTAATATTGGTCAGATCCTGCATTATTTATTAAACTACTATACATATATCGTCATAGTGGTAGAATACTGACGGATCTTTATACGTAATATTCGTCAGATCCGTCGGTATTCTACGACTATGGCGATGTTTTAGCAATGTTTCATACAATCGACCGGATATTTGATATTTACAACCGACTACAAAAAAGAAGGTAGTTTTCAGTTCGATTGTATTTTTCTCATGTTTGTAATCTCGTATCTCCGTCAATTCTAAACCGATTTGGATATTTTCTTTCATTTTATCTTAAAAAAAAAATACTTTCAGTTTGATCGTATGGTAATTTTAACAAAATCACCTGCGAAAAAGGATGGGCTGGCTCATTCTATGGCGGGACCGCACTGCATTGTAATATTAACAAAAAGAGTGATTATTTTTGATGACCAGGGAGGACGTGTTCATAACGTCCAAGCTGTGGTGCACCTACCACCGGCCGGACCTCGTGGAGGGCGCCCTCAGCGTCACCCTGAAGGACCTCGGTCTGGAGTACTTGGACCTTTACCTGATACACTGGCCACAAGCTTACAAGGTAATAACATTGCATTGCGCAGAGATATTGCATCTCTGTGCATCTTCTACCGAATTTATCATGGGGAGTGCTCTGAGGAATTGTTCGGATTGATACCTGCTGCTGATTTTCACCATCGTACAACCCGCCACAAACTAAAGTTTCATCCCAACCATCTGAACGAATGGCGGTCCTCCACCGTGCGTTTTTTAAGGCACTTTCTTCCACGCACAACCACTCTTTGGAATCAACTTCCAGCAGCAGTATTTCCGAACCGATACGACATCGTAACCTTCAAGAAAAGAGCATATTCCCTTTTAAAAGGCCTGCAGCACACCTGCAATGCCGTTGGTGTTGTGGGTGATCATGGGCGGCGGTAGTCACTTACCATCAGGTGAGCCGCATGCTCGTTTGCCCCCTGTGTTGTAAAAAAATTCTGCTTTCCTTTATCTCTGAATAAAACAGCAAAGTGACTCAAAATTAAGTTTGGCAAAGGTATTGGGGTTGTTTCTGATCTCTTTAATTAATATTTCATTTTGATATCACAGCGAAATCTTTATTATAAGGACCAATATGAACTAATTTCCCAATAGATTTAAGTCAAAATTAATATAATTTTCTATCTATCCTATTTAAAAGCTGCTCTCTTGTCGGTGGAGCTCTCGCCACTCACTACGATTTTCAGCGAGTCCCTTCACTTTTTAATACGACGCGACGTTATAATTTTAGTTTATAAAATCCATAAAACAGTAATTTCACAAAACTGTCATATCGTCATAGTCGTAGAATACTGACGGATCTACGTATGTAATATTTGTCAGATCCGTCAGTATTCTACGACTATGACGATATTATTACGTTTAACTGTCTCTTAATCGACATATACTTTAAATTACATCAAAAATATAGAATATTACCTAAGATAGAATTAAAATAGAGTTAGAAGATACAATTAGAAGAAGTTAAAATGTTATCTACTAATCACATTTTGGAATGCAATAAGAAATAAATAAAGATTTTTAGGTACATAAACGGCTTGTTCTAGAAATCTTATTAGTTTCTCCGACTATTTCGTGATTATAACATTTTTTCCTTTGAAATTCTAGGAAGGAGAAGAAAACTTGCCTTTGGATGAGGACGGCAAAGTCATACCCTCGTCCGTGGACTTTGTGGACACGTGGAAGGCCATGGAGGGGCTGGTGGAGAAGGGCCTGGTCAGGAGCATCGGCGTCTCCAACTTCAACAAACGGCAGATCGATAGGCTGCTCACATTGGCCGATATTAAACCCGCTGTCAACCAGGTGAGGAAAAACACTTTCTAGAAGCTTCTAGGCATAGTACGTTACAATGGAACTGAACAAAAAAGCGACTAAATTGTGTTGGGGATGTTCATAATGGGGAGATTAGACTTTATTTATTTATTTATAGGATCACCAACATAAGATACAGCGAAACATTTCAATACAATACACTGGCAGATTAGATCTAACTGTTCTTACATTTATAGGCGACCACAGCGTGCCTTGTGTTTGATAAACATTAAAACATATTATTATACCATATTGCTAGCAATATAGCCTATCAGGTCGACCTAAATCGATCCTCTCTGGAGACCATCCCGATTAATTTAGGTTAATTCGTCACAATGGACTAACTGACCTGCTTTCTTTTTTAATGCATGATACGCATGATGCGGTTACCGCAGCCTATGGACATCTTTGATACCAGGGGTAATACATGCGCGTTATCGACCCTGAAGAAACCTCTTTACCCCCCTTTTGAAGAACCCCATGCTGTAGTCTCTTGGGAAAACCTCGGCAGGGAGCTCATTCCATAACCTGAGTGTTCTTGGGAGGAAACATCTCTGAAACCGCGTTGTACGCGACCATTTAGGCTGTAGGGTATGAGGGTGAACTCCCTGTCGATCGCGAGTCATACGATGGTAGACAGTTGTCGTGGGCATCATATTGAACAAGAGTTTCCTCTTGTCGGTGCGACTAACTCCTGCATTCTCTTCCAGCCAGCTCTATCCCAGGCCATATCTTTGACCTCCCTATACGACGTGACACCTAGTGTTTCCTTTATCTATCCCATGCAGTTATTCTAGTCTTATTGTTGTATATTGGTTTATAATTTACAGATCGAGGTGCACCCGTACCTGAACCAGCAGAGGCTGATTGACTACTGCATGTCCAAGGGGATCGCAGTCACCGGATACTCGCCCCTCGGCTCCCCCGACAGGCCCTGGGCCAAGCCCGACGACCCTCAGTTGTTGGAGGACCCCAAGTTGAAGCCCATCGCCGAGAAATACGACAAAACTGTTGCCCAAGTGTTGATCAGGTATGATACGTCACCAATTGTCCTACTCTGTAAAGATTGGGGGGAAGGGATTATCAATAATGCGAACTACCAGTACCATTACTAGCAATATAGACTGTCTGGTCAGTCTCCACATGGTCCCCCCTGGAAACCATCGTGCTAAATCCCAGGTGTGTTCATCACGATGGGCTAACTGACCTGCCTTTTCAAAACATCCATTCATTGTTTCTAAATTATATGTTTGTATACATTTTTCTTGAGGAAGAGGAAGACCGAGGAATAACTACATGGGGCAGATAAAAGAAACACTAGGTGTCATGTCGTATAGGGAGATAAAGGATATGGCCTGGGATAGAGCTGGCTGGAGGAAGATGCATGAATTAGTTGCACCGACAAGAGGGAACTCTTAAATGGAAAGAATACATTTTTCTTAAGTTCCATTATACAGTTTTCATCCTCCATCATGCGTTTTTCAAGGCACTTTCTTCCACGCACAACAGCAGTAACTTTCCAGAAAAGAGCATATTCCTTTTTAAAAGGCCGGCAGCACACCTGCAATGCCACTGATTTTGTGGGTGATCATGGGCGGCGGTAGTCACTCACCATCAGGTGAGCCGCATGATAATTTGCTTGTTGTTTTTTTTTATGGGTAAAAATGGTATGGTAACCCCGCCTGCGCTAACGGGATACGCTGGCGGAGCACCAGTGAAGGCTGATAGATGAGAATGAAAACAGTAGTGCTATTCTCTAAACAAACAGCCTAGAGATCAGCCTTGGCGCAGCGATGAAATATTGAAATGGTATTCACTAATTCCTAAGACGCGACACTAGCGCCCAAAGACGAGCTCAAAGACGAGCGGCGTAAACGGGAACTACTCAAGGCTGTGCGATTTGACATTTTGTCATAGTATTTGGTATTCACTAACAAAAATCAGCCTCGCCTTCGCCGACAGCCTAGCCTACAGCCTCGATTTCTTATGTCAAATTCAAAAGCTTTGTTTTCTACGCTGTTTACATAGTATTCAACTAATATATTTCTTTCTTTCTTGAATTCTGTGATATTTAATAGCATTGAAATTATCAATTTGTGTATAAAAACGATGGCTGCTCGTTTATGTATAATGATCCATTTGTTAGAAGAAACTAAAAAAGAAGATGATTACAAAAAACGACAACAAACAAGGCAGTTGCGAAATACACGCACAATTTTACGTGATGTGGATTATATTCGACATTACAGACTGTCTGAAGACCTAATTAATATGTTGGAAAGTGAATTAGCACCATATATGCCTGTGTGCCGCCGTTCCGGAGGTTTGTCACTCAGGCTAAAGGTTTGTAATTTCAACTTTACTGTTTGATATTATTATGTAAATAAAATAATAATCATTAATTTTTTTTGTAGATATTATGTACTTTGTCATTTTTGGGTAATGGAAGTTACCAAAAACTTATTGGAAATAATTTAGATACTTTAATCTCTCAACCCTCAGCATCCAGAGCAATTCATCAAGTTATAGATGCGTTAAACAATATAAATATTGTCCAGAAATATATAAGATTTCCACAAAATTCTCAAGAAAGGCAAGCTTTAAAACAAAGGTAGTAAGAAAGAAAGAAACATAACAATCCCTAAGTGCATAACAAAAAGTATATTTTGTTAAGAAATTTTTAAATAGTTTATGATTTTTTATGTATATGAATTATATATTGGTATTATTTTCAGTTTCTATGAAAAATTTAAGATCCCTGGTGTATTGGGTTGCATTGATGGTACACTTGTATCAATGGTTCGACCTCATCAACATGAAGAACGTTATTATTGCCGAAAAGGCTATCATGCAAGAAATGTCATGATTGTAAGTTATTGGCAATTATATTCAGAATAATTTTTGATATTAATATTTGTTCTACTATATATGTAAGTGCATTTCTTTATCCAGATAAATGATGCTGATCTGAATATTTTACATGTAGATGTGACATTTGGAGGAGCAACCCACGACAGTTTTGTTTTTACAAATAGTATAATTAAAGATCATCTAGAAAAACTTCATAATAATGGGGAAGTAGTATACCTGCTTGGTAAGGTTCCAATCTTTGAACTACTTTGTGGAATATTATATATTACAAATAATGACTATTCTTTATTTTTTTTCAGGTGATTCTGGATATGCTCAGAGGCCCTACCTGATGACCCCTTTTAATAACCCAAACCCAGGAACGCCTGAGGAACACTACAACACTATGCATAGCACTGCTCGAAACAGTGTGGAAAGAACAATAGGCATTCTAAAAGGGAGATTTAGATGCTTATTAGTTCATAGAGTGTTACATTATGACCCCACAACAGTTTCAAAAATAGTAGTAGCTTGTTGTGTCCTACACAACATTTGTAACCGTGCAGGATTATCTTCTCCAACTTTAGCCTCCACAGACTTAGAACAGGAAAAAAGAATACTTGGCACATTGAGACAAGCTCAGTTGTCTCAAGACAATGTAGCCACTGGGCGCTTATGTAGAGCACAAGTAGTGCGTCAATTATGGCGTGCTCGTCATATGTAACAAAGTTTTTGTATGCATAATGACACCACTGGTATTGTAGGTCGGTATAAACTATAGTAACTATTTCCTATTATGTGGTCCATGCACCTGATGACTATTGATGTATAAAAATAATTAAGTGTTAAAATATTATAAATCACTCAATTTGACTCAATTACCCATGCAATAAGTTACTTATTCATGTCAATTTATTATTGTTAAATTAATCTAATACAGTTTAGGCTGACAAACAATAATCTCTTTCACAATCATGATTGTAAAACTTAAGACCTTTATGATATGGTCATTAGATAAAAATGTAATGAAAAAGAAAATAATTTCATGTTCTTTTATTTTTCAGGTGACTAGAACCCTTCTAATAGTGTAAACCCTTGGACTCTCACCATAATATCAAAATCCACTGATTGCTGTCTTATTTGTGATATGCATATTCATCTATACCATCTCACAGATCAAAGAAGCAGGAAAGAAAATGCAGTAGTCTTAAGACTATTTATATTATGTTTTTTGTACTTTATATTACATACTTTTCATTTTTATTGTAGCTTTTTTGTCTAATCGTATGTTAAATATTAATAATAAGTAGTAAAATGTACATCCATTTCATAGTACAGCAAATTAAATTTAAACAAGCTGACATACTTTTACATTTATAATATTATGTACATATGCAATAGGGAATATGTATAAATATTATTTATATAAACTTAATTAAAGTACTTTATTTTTCAGTTTCATTGAAATTCTGTACTTTTTGTTTATTAATTTATTACATGATATATATATTAAATTTCCATTCAATTCAATTTATTTATTTGCTACAATACTTCATAGTGTTGGATATTTTTTATATGTTATAAATGACTAGATAATAGGTTTAATGATGTTTAATGACATGAATTAAGTTAATTTCAAATGACTTTCATGTTTCATGACTGTCAAAGTCTGTATTTATACAAATTTCAATTGTAAAATTTCCTTTGTTTAAAAAAAAGCAACAGTTGAGTTTCTTGCCTGTTCTTCTCAGCTGAAATTGCATTCCGAATGGGTGGTAGAATCATAAATAGTGACTATTCAGAAACATTTGTAAGTTTACTTAAAATATTATTCATATTCTAAATGAATAAATAAATTAAGTTGAAATAAAAATGCTTTACCAAAGATTTATTTTTTTATTTTTTGAACTAAATCTGACAGGGATTGACTTTGCCTTAGCCATGCGTCACTTATTTGTTGTAAGGCATGAACTAAGGCTCGCTGGTTCTCTGCCAAGATCCTTTCTGTCTCTACTCGGCGCTCTTCTATAGCGACAAATCTCTCTGTAAGACTTCTCAGTTGAGACTGCCGCTGTGAAGGAGGTGAGCGCCGGAGTAAGCGTCGTCGTGGTGCAGTTAAACGACGGCGTGGAGCTAATAACAACAAAACCAATTACACATATAATTCCAAAATATATAAAGTAGTTATGTATTTACAATACCCAGTTTAATTTTGTCCACTATTATGATTAATTACTTACATAAAGTAGCACTGCGTCTTGAAGTGGTGGGTGGTGGTGGTGGTTGTGGTGGTGGTGGTGGTGATGATGGTGGCGGTGGTGTAGGTCTATTGTCATACTAAAAATAAATAAAAAAGAACTAAATTTAACGGACTAAATCTAATACCTAACACATTATTAAATGCAGTTTTACCATCTGTTGTTCTGCAGGGTATTGAGGAATACTCTCCAGATTATCCCTCCGCCATGATGGTCCTGGCTGTGGATCCTGCAGACAATAAATATAAGTTACATTACATGCAATATGTAATTAGAAAATTTTTGTTACATATACATACTGGTATAGAAGGTGTAGACTCTTCAGTTCCTGTGGCTAATATAGGTATAGTCCCAGGCTCCACTGTTATTGACTGTACAACCAAAATTAAATTTTATATTAAAAATTTAAATATTATATGTACTGTTAGTGTACAGTTATATTAAATTTAATTGTATGTAATACCTGTAAGATACTTATAGATGAATCCACATCTGATGTAGAAGCGCTGGGTATATTCTGTATAAAAAATATATATAATTAAAAAAAAAGATATTATAAAAAATAAATATGTAATATCTATGCTGCAAACTATAATATACACACCAAAGAAATAGCTTCTTCAAGCTCTTTTCTGTTAGGATGATCTTCACTGGATTCCTATAAATGAAATATTTTACTTAATATTTTTTTTTGTACAATTTATATGAAAATTATAAATTAGGTCATGATGGTTAAAATAAAATAATAATTATTATTATAAAAAAGCCAATAAATAAAAAGAGAACATACATGGAAAGGGTTAATTTCTAGTTCACGATCCCCGTGAGCAAAGCCTTCTCCACCCATTATATTTATAATGCGTTCTTCTACAACAGAAAGCGCTAATTCCTCCACCGCACCACCACCAGTTTTTTGTCTTGCCACCCTTAGAAGGCTGGCTTTTCTTTTTGTTGCAGCCTTCTTATCTTTCCAGTACTATAAAATATTAGTATGAAAATAAATACTTATTAGAAATGCATAACATTTTATACATGCTTACTTATGTACTATAAAAGGAGGTAAAAACAAACCTTAGACCATTGCTGCCATGTTTTTAAACAGCCACGGCCGTCGCTGTTTAGTTTAACAGCAATGTCTCCCCAAGCGACTTTAGTACGGTCCCTAGCATTGGCTGTTCGTGCATGGCCTGTCGCAAGCCATCGCTGCTCCTCCATGCATTCCACCAGCATCTCCAACTGCTCTTGAGAAGGAACCGCACTTCTTGACATGCTACGAAATAGTTATTTATTTTAGTTATTAGAAATATAATAGAACTCTATTTAAAAGATCACACAAATAATTAAAAAGTACTACTTACCTATTTGATAGATAGATCCAAAGTTATGAATTTCAATTAATTTAAAAAAAGAATTATCTTAGTGTAGAAACTAAACAAGACAAATACAAAAAACGCGCGTCTGGAATGTTGTTTGGCGTGGCGTGACATCTTAGTCTTTTTTACGGCCATGGAAACAAGCTTATTCAAATTCAAGTTAAAAGACAAAATTAAATGTTTAGTGAATAAATTTATATTTATTTTGCTAAATGTTTATTCAGACAACATTATTAACTCAATAAAACATTTTCTTTACTAATAAAACACTATATTTGTTTAATTACCGGTTTCAATTTACGGTTTTTGTTGCAAGCCCTATCTCGTCCGTGCGCGCAGCCTCGAGTTATCACAGCCTACAGTTCGTCGATGAGGTTTGACACGTTAGTGAATACCAATTACCGCAGCGCTGTAGCCACGGTCGTTCGCAAGGCTGATCAGCCTAAAGCTCGTCGGCGGGCGCAGCGTTGCGGTAAATTTTTAGTGAATAGCATTGCAGGCCAGTTAGCCCATCATGACGAATTCATCAGGAATTAACCATGATAGTTTCCAGGGGGAACCGCGAGGAGGTCGACCTGGTTGGGTATATTGCTAGCAATGGGATTCTCAGTCTCCATTACTAACAATCCCCCTGCTTGTTGTGTTATAAAAAAAAAACTGATGCAAATGTTACTTTCAGATATGCAATCGAGCGAGGTCTGATCGTGATACCCAAGTCGGTCACCAAGAGTCGTATTATTGCCAACTTTGACGTTTTCGACTTCAGCCTCACGCCTGAGGACCTCACCCAGATCTCCACGCTTGAGTGTAACGGACGCTTCTGCAATATGGGCGAGTAAGTATAGATAGATAGGTCTCTTTATTCTTCATCGTCGACACCGTATCAGCCGGTCAACTGTTGCTGAATACCTTACCCATAAAGAGTTTTTGTTTTATACAACCTAGAATGGCAAACAAGCTGACGGCCCACCTGATGGAAAGTGGTAACCGTCGCCTATACACATGAGCAGTACCGTGGACATAACAGAGTATAATACTGTTTCGCCCATGATACCCCCCATGCGTTGCCATTCCTGAGGACTCGGGTGTTATTCCTCTGTACCGTGTAAATTCACTACCATATCCCACCCTTCAAACCGAAACACAGCCATGCAAACACAACTGTTTCACGGTAGAAACACGAATGGGACAGAGGTGGGCAAGCAAACGACTTTTGTACAGTCTCCCTCTGATTAATGCTTACTCAAATATACAACTTTTTCGTACTATGTATTATATTCTTATATTATATAGATAGTATGTCTCTATACAAATGCTTCGAGAAAAACGAGTCAACTTTTTCATACAATTTTTTACATCCTTTATAACTTGTATATTTGTTTTGTTTTATAATTTCTGCATCTTTTTAATGCGTAAACACTCATTTTATTTATTGAACAATTAAATATAGATACGTCAAGGTGCATTGTGTGCGTAAGTATATAGAACACTGATAAGGGAACGAGTCAGTTAACTTGACAATTAGCTAACAAAAAGTTGACCCGTTTTTTGAGACTTGACGCTCTATCTATATAATCCAATATATTATATATTAGTATAGTTTTTTATTTAAATATAAACGATACAGTACTCATGTTCTTTTGTTTCAGCACACACCACCCGGACTATCCATTCCATGATGAGTATTAAATATACTTCTGAAAAAACACATATTCAAATACCTTCACAGATGTCGTGAAAAACGGGCTGTATGAACAAATTCCTTTGACAATATTTTTTTTCCTTAGCGCGACCATAATGCTGTCAATGTTTTTTTTTTCTCTGGGAAAATAAAAAAGCAATAATTGGAAAAAAAAAACAGCGGTTTATTTTTTTATTTTTTATTTATTATCATACACTTACATATGTAGTATGCACAATAATGAATTGCACAAAAATTGCATTCGCAAAAATACTTAAATAATGTAAAACAAATTGTTTCGTATTGTTATTTAATTGTTAAATTTAATAAACTTTAATATTATACTTAATTTGTTTTTTATTTATCTTTTTAATTGACTCAAGTTGACATTGTCTACACAGTCGTCAACACTGTCTACCTGCGTCATGACTGTTTACAGCCGTCATCACTGACTGCATACGTCATCACTGTCTACATACGTCATCATCATCTACCAACATCAACACTAGGATAAATGATGTGGCACTATTTAGCGAAATAACTGTTTTATAGACTATCATTACATAAAATTATAATAATTACGACAAATTTATTAGAAAATTACTTCAAATTAGTCCTTACAATAAAGTTTTATGTTGTGTAGAATTATAGATACGAGTACTTGTATCTCTATTTTAAATGCTTGAAGGAGTGTATAATACTCGCCGAACGATTTATGGCCGATTATAAATTCTAGGCTTACGTACACTGGAATTTATTATATTTGTAATCACTTATGATAAATAAAGAACTTTTGAAAACAAACAAAACAATAAAGTTTTCGTTGTGATATCAAATTGAAATTTTAACTTTAGAGATAGGTTTACAGTAATGGTGCTTCAGAATTGGCCCCACTGTCTACAAACATCAACACTATCTACAGACGCCTTTACTATCTAGAGACATCGTCACTGTCTATATATGTCGTCACTATCTGCAGATGTTATCACTGTCGACAGACATAATTACTGTTCACAGACGTATTCACTGCCCACAGACGCCATCAATGTCTACAGACGTCGGCACTGTCTATAAACGTCATTACTGTCTACAGACACCTTTACTATCTACAGATATCTTCACAGTCTGCAGATGTCATCACTGTCTATAATCGTCATCACTGTCTACAGACGCCTTCACTGTCTACAGACGTCGGCACTGTCTATAAAACGTCAGTAATGACAGTAATGTCTACAGACGCCTTTACTATCTACAGACATCGTCTCTGTCTGCAGATGTCATCACTGTCTACAGTCGTCATCACTGTCTACAGACGTCATCACTGTCCACAGACGCCGTCATTGTGTACAATCATGATCACTGTATACAAACGTCGGCACTGTCGTCGGGAGTGAATAAATTAGGGTGTTGCTTGGCGACGTGCGCGCGCAAGTACTTGCGGCTGTAGACGCGGCCGCACGCCGGGTGCGGGCAGGCGGCGCGCGCCCGCGCATGCGCCGAGTAGCGGTGGCGGGCAAGATGGCGGCGCGACTTGAACAGCTGATCGCACTCGGTGCACTGTTTTTTTTTTTTTTTTCTTTTTTTGTGGCGTTCACCCCGATATTAGGGTATTTTGCCAAGAACAAAACGGGGAAACGATAATAGTAATAAAAATACCTAACACAAACGAATTTAGAAAGGATAAGGATTAGGTCTAGGATATTTATAGGATATGAAACATATACTTGTACATATGAGAATATACTTATAAATATATAGGAAAAGCAATTGATGCAACTATAAATGTATTCATGTAATATAACTAAATCTTAATATTGTTATCATATATATATGAAGATAGTATTTTATAGATAATAGGATCATTGGAAGAAAGTAGAGTAAGAATAGAAGTTGGGAGTGGAACACGGATGGATCGGAGATGATTAAAAAGGGAGGTGTGGTCAAATTTAGAACATGAGAAGAATATATGATTCAAGTCCGCCACTTCAGCACCGCAATTACACGACGAACTTTGTACAATACCAAGCTTGTATAAATGAGAAGGTGTGCATACGTGACCTAGACGCATACGAGTTATAATAGTTGTTGCGGTCTTTCCAAGCTTTAATTTACAAAACCATGGTTTGAAAGGAATATCGGGTTGTATAAGGCGATAAAATCTTCCTTTTATTGTACTTGTTTTTTCCCAATATTCCTTCCAGGCATACCTTAAATATATTTTTGGGAGACAAGCTAGGTCACTACAGTAATTATGATACGGATACATATCACCACAAGTTACAGCCTCTCTTGCAATAAGGTCAGCTTTGTCATTGCCGCTAATACCACTGTGTCCTGGTAACCAGGCAAAAGAAACGGAATAACCTCTCAACATGCAAAGATAAAGACTTTGTCTTATGTCACAAATAATGGGATAAACTGGTTTTGATTTAAACGGATATTTGGCTAGAGCTTGCAAAGAGCTCATAGAGTCAGTGAAAACTATTGCCTTATGTAATTTCATTAAAAGTATATATTCTACAGCTTTTAAAATACCATAACATTCCCCGGTAAAAACTGAAGACTCCGGTGGAAGTTTAATTTTTTGAACGATATTAAATTGTGAATGAAACACACCCACACCTACACAACCGCTATTGTCTGGTTTTGATGCATCAGTAAAGATGTAGTGCCATTCATTCCATTCAATGTCAGTTATAAACATAAATTTGGCATTCAATTCTGAATCATTTTTTAATAACCCAAAATCATATTTAATATTAGGAGATAAAACTAAAGATTGATATGAGCATTTATAAATGGGAAAACAGGACGATGTAAAAGTGGGAGATTCTATGGATTTATATTTTTCATAACTTTGTATTAAACATGGAGGTTTTTTATGTTTCCAATAAGATGAAGACGAAATAAAGATATGTAGTTGAGATAACTTTTGAATAAGCGGATGATCAGATAATTGTAAACAACGAAAAAAGAAGCGATCAGATAGATATTGTCTTCTTAAAACCAAAGGTGGATCACCGACTTCGAGCTGTAAAGCATTGATTGGACTTGATTTCATTGCTCCAGAGATAATCCTCAAGGCCTTTGATTGAATTAAATCCAATTTCTTAAAAGCAAATGAACTTCCTGGAGCTAACAAAAAAGTTCCATAATCAATGACACTCCTTATAAGACCATTATAAGCAAGTTTTAGTGAAACGGGATGTGCTCCCCACCAAACTCCAGCAAGGCACCTAAGAATGTTGAGGTTACGCTCACATTTCGTAGAAATATAATTACAGTGGGACAGACCTGTTAATTTATTATCTAGCACGATACCTAAAAATTTAATTTCAGTCTTTATAGGAATGTATGAGTTATCATAAAGCACCTTAATTTGTTGCGGTGATCTCATTCTTGAAAACAAAACTACACTACTCTTGGTTACAGAAAGATTAAGACCATTTGCATCTAACCACGTTTTTAACAAATCTAATGAATCAGATAATTTGGCAGAAGCAGATTCTATGGACTTCGCAATAAAATATAATAAAAGATCATCAGCATATTGTAAAATTTTGACGGATTTATCAAGGAATAATTCTAGATCGTATGTGTATATGTTAAATAAGATTGGACTGAGAACAGATCCTTGTGGAAGGCCTTTCCATACTGTTCTAGATAATTTGGTATCTTCATCTAAATTCATATATATTGTTCTTTCTGATAAAATATTAATAATGAAATTAGAAAGCATTACCGGTACATTTAGAGCTTGTAATTTAGTTTTTAAAATAGAAATTATTACATTATCATAGGCAGAATTTATATCTAAAAAGGCTGAGAGGATTGACAAATTTTGTGAGAAAGCTATATGAATATCTGAAATAAGAATGCTCACATTATCTAAGGTGCTCTTACCTTTCCTAAAACCAAACTGGTTCGGGGATAGTAAGTTATTACTTTCTAAAAACCATTCTAGACGGTTTTTCACTAAATGTTCAGCTAGCTTTAGTAAGACAGAGGAAAGTGCAACAGGACGGTATGATGATGGTTCAGAAGGTGGTTTATGAGGCTTTAGAAATGGTATAATAATCTGAGACTTCCATGAAGTAGGTATATTTCCCGAAATAATTATGGAATTAATTATATTTAAAAAGTAAATTAATGTCGCATCGCTAGCATTTTTAAAAAAGGAATACGGTATACCGTCTTCTCCCGGTGCAGAGTCTTTAATAGAAGCTAGAACACCTTTAAGTTCTACTAGAGTAAAAGGAGAGTCAAGTTCGAATAATTCGTCAGAGACGGATAGAGAAATATTGTAAAGGCATTCCGGCACATAACTAGGAGCAAGACGATCTAAAAATTTATTCGCTAAAGTTAAATCGAGTGCAGAACGTGATGTATGATCACTAAAGGCAGATCTGAATCTTTTAATATTATTCCAAACGACTGATGAATTAACTTCTGGACAGATAGAAGAACAAAATCTTCTCCAGCCTTCTAATTTCTTTTTTTTCATTAGTTTTCGAGTAGAACGTGAAACTGCGGTGTAAATTTCAAAATTTTCTGGTGTCATGTAATTATTATAATTTTTTTCAGCCTCTTTACGATTTTTAATTGCTTCCGTACAATCTTTGTCCCACCAAGGTGGCGAGGGAATTTTCCCTGAAGCACTATTTTTAACAGGAAATAATAAATCAGCAACCTCCTTCATATTTATCATCAAGTCATTACAACATTGATGTTCATTTCCATGGTAAACAATAGGTAACTCCGATATTTTATTATCTAAATATTGTTTGTAAATATTCCAGTCTACATTTGATAAATTATATTTAAGCCGAGGACCACTCTTTCGACTTGAGGGAATGGAAATTGGAAAAGAAAGAATGAGGGGAAAGTGATCGCTTCCGAAAGTAGAGGAATGAGGATACCACGACAGTGAAGAAGCTAAATCAGAAGAACATATTGAAATGTCAGGAGCACTAAACCCTTCATTCGGTGCAGTTCTACGTGTTGGTACATCTGAGTTAATAATACATAAGTTGTAAGTGTCAATTATCGTCAGGAGTTTTCCACCATAAAAATTAGAAGTAGAACTGCCCCACGATTGGTGTTGAGCATTAAAATCGCCCATTACGAGAAAAGGTTTAGGTAAAATTGAAAATAATTGTTCTAGTTGTGAATATATTTGGCATGTAGGATCAGGAATATATAAAGTAACAAAACAGATACCATTTATAATTATAGCAGCTGCATTAATGCCGCTATATACAGGAAGCGAAAAAGAAGAAAAAGGAAGGGAGTTTTTGACCAATATGGCAACACCGCCATATCCGTCAGCTCTATCATCACGGAGACTTATAAAGCCTGAAATCCTAAAAGGATATCCTGGCTTTAACCAAGTCTCTTGGAGAGCTATTATAAAAGGATTATATTTATTAATCAAATAAAATAAGTCTGATTTCTTGTTTGTTATGCTACGACAGTTCCACTGAATTATTAGGACTTTGTAATCCATTGTGAGAAGTTAATAATTGAGAAAATACATTGTAAATGGCATCGTTGGACGGTGGTAAAGTTGTTTGTATCATCTTCGATTGCGATAACACTTTAATAAGCATGAGAATAATATCAAAGATGGATTGATTATTGTCAATATTATTTGATGATAATGCACAACCATTAGAGGGAGCAGGAATATTATATTCCTTAACTATGGCTTCATGGGCAGAACGATCATATCCTTGTTGTGCTTTTTGAGGAGAGCGTGGTTTAAGTGTAACTGTTTTTTTATGTGATGATTGAATATGTGGTAATGATGATTTCTCTTTGAGGAAAGAAGATTGAAAATGAGATTTATTGGACGGAGATGATGATGTTAATACATCTGAATATAGTTTAGAAGTGGGAGGATGAAATTTTGATGCTTCAGCATAAGAAACACAACTGTGGGCCATTGTTTCTTTAATGGCTTTCTGACGTGCATATTCAGGACATTTCTTACTAATTGCTGAATGAGAACCATTACACAAGATACAAGAAACATTTTCCTCATCTACTTCACATTTATCACCTGTATGATTTTGCCTGCATTTATAACACCGAGGATTTGAACGACACTGCATCTTGACATGTCCGAACCTACAGCAGTTATAGCATTGGATAGTGGGGTAAATGTACAAATCTACAGTTAATGATGTGTAAAACATAAATACTCTTTTTGGTAATATTTGTCCATCAAAAGTAATAACAATGGTTTCAGTATTAATAAAACTTGGTTGTCCTTCATTAATGGTCTTTTTCTTAATTCTTCTGGTTTTTAGAATTCTCCCACAACCTATAGGTACTGATATATTTTGGATTACTTCCTCTTCTGTCCAATCTTTAGGAATACCCCTCACAATTCCCATACGGGTTACATGGAAAGAAGGTATAAATGCCTTAAAATTATGTGTTTCTAAGTGACTATTATTTAAAAATGCATTTGCATTTTCAAAATTTGAGAAAGAAAGCGATAAACGGTTTCTTCCTATTCTTTTGAGGCTACCATTCACTATATTATTTATCTTATTAGTGTGTAAAAAGCGACCAAATGCAATAGGATGTAATGTAGTGTTATCATTAGGATGTGTTTCATTTTTTTGTACATGAACGACATAAGGAGCTACATCCTCGGCATTGTACAAAGTTCTGCTTAAAGTACTGGGTGGAGAAGCAGGTTTAACAGACTCGGTATTATTTACAACTGGTATTGATACTAGAGTTTGATTCTCATCCTCAATACATTGACAATCACTATCTTTAATTTTAGATTCGAGACCTTTGGTGTGCCTCCTTCGTTTTTTATTGCAATGTTTGCAAATGCGACGTTCGCCACGTACTCGCTTACGTTTAGAACTTGCAACGCTAGAACCATCTGTGTCCATACTAGATTCACCCAATATATCAAAACTATTATTAAATGGGATAGTTATATTTGCAGACACCTGGGGGGTTGTCCCCCCAGGGTCTATAGGTGGATCCATAATGTCTAATTAATATAGGTAATTTACTTACCAATATTTACAGCAACAAACACTATTACTACAAAATATACAATTATATATACAATCTAATACACAATATATAAATAAAACTAATCCTTATATAATTAAAAATAAAATTAATTTAAAGAAGATCAAAAAACACTCCCGCTTTTTTAAACGTTTCCCGCGCTTTTTCCGGTGCACTGTTGACGATACAATGCAATTTGAAATGGCATCATGTCTATTAAAAACAAACTTCTATAATACAGTTCGACATCTTGTGTTTGCGGCGATTTTAAAATGATGTAATTTATTTTAACTCATATTAACACGGTTGATAAATATAAATAAAGATTGTTAGTAATGGGGAAATTAATACCCACTATTAATATACGCTGTGAGGTCGGCCTCGATCGAATTAATCTTGTTGAATCCGTCACGATGCGCTAACTGACCTGGTTTCATCCTCACTTATCACCACTTATTAGTGCCCCGCCAGCGTATATCGATAGCATAGGTGGGGTTACCAGTGCATTACCGTACATTAGACAAATAAAAACTTTCCGCCATTTTAAACCGGCGGCCATTTTGGAGGGTTTGCCAATAATTGCCACGCTTGTCAGACGGATTGATAACCACAGTTAGGCTTTGGTGATGTTTTAAAAAAGACGTCCATCCCTCGCTCTCCCTTAATCACCTCTTACGACACCCACGGGAAAGGAAGAGGTGGCCCATTCTAAGCAAGGAGCTACACGGTAAAAACTACTATATGCAGTGACAATTTTAAAATTCCGCCAAAGGTACCAAAGGGAAACACAGAAGTCGTTTGCTTGGCCACCTCTGTTCCATTCGTGTTTCTACCGTGAAGCAGTTGTGTTTGCATGGCTGTGTTTCGATGGCGATATGGCAGTGAATTTACACGATACAGAGGAATAACACCTTAGTCCTCAGAAATGGCAACGCATGGCGGGTATCATGGGCCAAACAGTATACTCTGTTATGTCCACCGTACTGCTCATGTCTATAGGCGACGGTTACACCTACGTTGCATAAAAAAAGGTACATACTTGTACAGTGCCGATGTCTCTATGGCTCTCTAGGTGCTGCACCAGGCATCGTCTGCTATAGTAAGACGCCCCACAATGGTCGCACACGAATGGCCTTTCACCGGTGTGCACTCGCCTTTCATGTAACTACAATTTTTAGGTCTTCAAAAAGAACTCTTCTCGACTCGGTTATATATTTTTTAACTTATCATTATTTAGCCTTATTTAATATAAAATTGTAACTCATGATTATAAAAAAAAACCTACCTTAAAACCCTATTCCTTCATTATTTTCCCGCCCCGTTTTCCATCTGTTATAAGTGACATATTGGCATTTAAAAAAAGAGTATATTTTGCTTCGAAATGCAGTTTTTTATCACACAAAGAGGAACGACAGCTATAAACGTAACAAAATCGGTATAGAAATAAGACCAACACGCGAGTGAATACCTCTAATCTTAGATTTTCTTGGCAATTTGAATTAATTGACAATGGACTAGTGTTGCCCTATATGTCACTTATTACAGATGGGTAAATATTTATTACGTTTAAAGAACGTTTATTTTAATGCAAATAAACAAATATGAACTACGGAAAAAAAAAATTGTGACAATGAACCATAATGGTATATGTATTTTCTTCTATTATTACGTAATTGGGAGGGAGACTTTGTACAAAAGTCGTTTGCTTGGCCACCTCTGTCCCATTCGTGTTTCTACCGTAAAGCAGTTGTGTTTGCATGGCTGTGTTTCGGTTTGAAGAGTGAGATATGGCAGTGAATATACAGGGTACAGAGGAATAACACCTGAGTCCTCAGGAATGGCAACGCATGGGGGTATCATGGGCGAAACAGTATACTCTATTATGTCCACAGTACTGCTCACGTCTATAGGCGACGGTTATCACTTTCCATTAGGGGGGCCGTTAGCTCGTTTGCCATTCTAAGTTGTAAAAAAATGTCATAATTTTAACAGTATTACTGTACAATGCTTGGGCCGAAAAGAAAACATTACGCACTTCAAGTATTTAATAAGTAGTAGTAAGTATTCAGTAGCTATTTCAATGTCCTGTCTCTCTCACTCACCGCTAGTTGAGCGTTATCCAGAGCGAGATAGTCGCAGTGTTTACAGGCCAGCTCTCGTCGCATACCGTGATAGGAACGACAGTGGCGCTTCAATTGTGTGGAAGATATGAAACTTTTCCCACAATACTGTAAAATAAGTGGCATCGATAGTTACTCATTGAAAAAAAAATACTTAATCGTGTTTTAAATAATAATGATAATTAAAATATATAAAAAGGAACTAACTTCACACATAAATTTGAAGCCCAAATGTAATTTCGCGTGACTGATAAAACACGACCATTTACTTACGGACTTCTTGCAAACTTTACATTTCACAGGACCGTTCGCGTCGAAATCACCATCGACTAAACTCAAATACCTGTCCCTTTTCTCTTTCCGTGTCACTTTTTCGCCTTTTACATTTTTTATTTTAGATTGCACAGTTTGTTCCTTAGCCTCATGCGGTTTTGGCGGGAAACCGTCCTGATTTTCCTCTGTCAACCTGTCAAATTCTATTTGAACGTTGAATTCTTTTAATCCACTGTAATTATTGTAATCTTCCGATGAATTATAATCAAATGTATCAACATTGTTTAAGAGTGTTTGTACTTCATTGTTCGTTCTATATTTTTGTTTCCTCAGCTTTGTATCACATATGAAACTTCTGTTCCGGAGGCGCAATGCACAGTTGACTAAATAAGTGCATTTCTCGCATATATTTTGCGGTAAACCATCATTGGGTTCGATCTACAATACAGTGGTAAGAAATAATTAATATACAGCTAGAAACTAGTCTCTCTTCATAACGTAAGCTATGGGGTGGGTTATTTTCTTCGTTTCTAACTTAACCTAACCTGTCACTCGTTGGGCGAAAGGGATTGTTAGTAATGGAGACTGAGAATCCTATTGCTAGCAATATACCCAACCAGGTCGACCTGCTTGCGGTTCCCCCTGGAAACTATCATGGTTAATTCCTGATGAATTCATCACGATGGGCTAACTGGCCTGTTTTCATTCTCATCGATCACCCTTCACTGGTGCTCCGCCAGCGTATCCCGTTAGCGCAGGCGGGGTTACCATACCATTTTCACCCATCAAAAAAAAAACCTGTCACTCGTTGGGGGAAAGGGATTGTTAGTAATGGAGACTAAGAATCCACGTCGATCTTCTTGCGGTTTTCTCTGGAAACTATCATGATTAATTCCTGATGAATTCATCATGATGGGCTAACTGGCCTGTTTTCATTCTCATCGATCATCCTTCACTGGTGCTCCGTCGGCGTATCCCGTTTTTTTTAACGGGTGATAATGGACTGGTAACCCGACCGCGCTATCGATATACACCAGCGGGGCACCAGTGAAGGATAATATGTGAAGATGACGTAGGTCAGTTAGCCCATCGTGACGAATTCAACAATAATTGTTCACGATGGTTTCCAGGGGAAAACAACGTCGAGGTCGTCCTAATAAATTGCTAGCAATGGGGCTGTCAAACTCCATTGCTAACAATCCCTTTTCCCTAGCGTATACCGTTAGCGCAGGTGGGGTTACCAGTCCATTTTCACCCATCAAAAAAATCTGTCACTCGTGGAGGGGAAGGGATTGTTAGTAATAGTTCCCATTGCTATCAATATACCCTATCAGGTCGACCTCCACGCGGTTCCTTCTGGAAACTATCGTGACTAATTTATCGTTGAAATCCTCACAGTAGGCTAACTGACCTGCCTATTCATCCTCACCTATCATCTCCCATTGATACCCCGTAAGTGTATATTGATAGCGCAGGCGGTGTTACCATTCCATTATCATACATTGAAAAAAAAACACGTAACTGCTTCACAGTAGAAACACGAACGGGACAGAGGCGGCGAAGCAAACGACTTTTGTACAAAGTCTCCATCTGGTAATGGTCTTCTATTTGGTTCGTCGTTACATATATTTTTTTAATTTTTTTTTTATTAAAATATTTTTTTAATTTTTTTTTTTTTTTTTATTTTAATCTATTTTCAACTTCTTTTTTAATAGATATCTACATCTAGATGTTATTCTCAAATAATGTGTTGCGGATGGCTTTATTGACATCTGAACTCTATTATTGACAATGTTGCTGTAGTTTTTAATAGTATTGTTTAATTTTATGTTTCCTTCACTTGTATGACACATTTGTGCAAACTTTAGGGGCTGTTAAGTTATTATTTAATTATGTATTGTTATAGCTGTCTGCCTTAAATAAATAAATAAATTACTGAGATATAGAAATGAGTATAGAAAAATTTAAAGTTCATAGCTTATGTTTAACATTTAGATAATATAGTATATATAATATATTATAATTTTCGTCAGCTAATTGTCAAGTTGGCTGACTCGTTCCCTTATCAGTGTTCTATATACGTACGCACACAATGCACCTTGACGTATCTATATTTAATTGTTCAATAAATAAAATGAGTGTTTACGCAATAAAAAGATGCAGAAATTATAAAACAAAATAAATATAGCAGTTATAAAGGAATCGCTCGTAACTATTTATCACGTGAAATTGTATGAAAAAGTTGATTGTCTTTTCTGGAAGTATTTGTATGAAGACTATCTATATTATCAAAGGTTTAACAATACAGTATAGTATAAAAAAAACTCACTTTGAGACCGGTCGTTAGTGACAATACAGTGGTGTATCTCTCACTACGTTCCGTATCACTAAATATTGGGCCCAAATTGTTCTCAGCGAGACATAACCTACATACGTCTTGACATTCGAACATAATTTCTTAGTTTTAATATTGTTACGTTTTCTATTCGCTTCACGGTAACACAAGTAAGCGAAAATTCCAAAAGTCGAGTATAGCCTGACAACTTGTTTATGAATTTTTTTTTGTGATATATTTACGGCTTTGGATGTATCCTTTTAGTCCATGTTTAATTTCTTTTACTTTCATTACAGTGCTTGTTTATGACATGTCAAATAGTGATGCGCCGAGTCCAGCAGATTCGAATACTGACTCGATGGGGGGAATGGAATCGTTAGTAATGGAGACTAAGAATCCTATTGCTAGCAATATACCCAACCATGTCGACCTCCACGCGGTTCCCCCTGGAAACTATCATGGTTAATTCCTGATGAATTCATCATGATAGGCTAACAAGCCTGGTTTCATTTTCATCGGTCACCTTTCACTGGCGCCCCGCCAGCGTATACCGTTAGCGCAGGCGGGGTTACCATACCATTTTCACCTATCAAAACAAAAATACTAACTAATCGAGTTAGTATTTTTGTTTTGATAGGTATTTGATACTCAGTATGGAAAGTCGTTATTCGAATACGACAACATAACCTTCAAGAAAAGAGCATATTCCTTTTTAAAAGGCCGGCAGCACACCTGCAATGCCGTTGGTGTTGCGGGTGATCATGGGCGGCGGTAGTCACTTACCGTCAGGTGAGCCGCATGCTCGTTTGTCCCCTGTGTTGTAAAAAAAAAACAGGTTTTTAGTACTGTATGTGAATTCACTACATGTTACTACATACGAATAGTATTCTTGTACATAAGCTTTTTTTTATCTTTCTGCTTCATCGATGCAGGTAGTGAATTTACACGGTACAGAGGAATAACACCCGAGTCCTCAGGAATGGCAACGCATGCGGGGTATCTTGGGTGTAACAGTATACTCTATAAGCGACGGTTACCACTTTCCATCAGGTGGGCCGTCAGCTTGTTTACCATTCTAAGTTGTATAAAAAAAAAACTGAGACAAGGAGATTGTCACGAACGTCACTATTTACTTTCATACAACTACGAAGGTTTGAAACAGGTTGATAGCCTACAGGACAAATACGGAATTTAAGTACATATTTTTTTTTACTGAGGTAGTTTCCTCGAACCCCCTATAGAAGCTTCTGACCCAACACATTGAAAAACACTAGACTTTTTTAACATGTGCGAGCTGTGACAGACCGATCGTGAACGACAGTGTTGCCAGACGTAACTTTTAAGTTATCTTATTTTTTGTAAACAGTATATATTTATTATATTTGCAATAACGTCGTCGAAGATATTAATGCAGTGTTTCCCAACCTTTTCTGTCCCATGCCCCACTTAAACATTTCTAACATTTTTATGCCCCCATACATAATTTTTCCCGACAAAGTTTACTTGACGACTCTAATCGCCCAGTTGTCGGGAGGAAAGGGATTGTTAGTAATGAAGACTGAGAATCCCATTGCTAGCAATATACCCTCTTTCTGGAAACTATCATGCTTAACTCCTGATGAATTCATCATGATGTGCTAACTGGCCTGTTTTCATTCTCATCTATCACCCTTCACTGGTGCTCCGCCAGCGTATCCCGTTAGCGCAGGCGGGGTTACCATACTATTTTCACCCAGCAAAAACACTAGGGGTGTCACGTGCGCATTGTCGACCCTGAAGAAACCTTAATACAACCTTTTTGAAGAACCCCATACTGTTGATAATGGTATTGAAACAAAACCAAATATTTCATTTAAACATTTTATTTTTAAGTTAATAAATAAACTATATACATATCTAAGAATTAAAAAAATGACAATTTAATAAATAACTTATTCACAATCTATAACTTCAACCCGTGTCTTGTGGAGGCTGGCAGAGGAGTGACACGCCGGCATCGAGTCCCACATTTTTCTTTTTTATACAACTTAGAATGGCAAACAATGTCTGAATGAATGTCTATACGCGACGGTTACCAGTTACCATCAAGTGGGCCGTCAGCTAACAAGCTGGCGGCTAGCTGGCTTTATACCATGGTAAACATGCCATTCTAAGTTGTATAAAAAAAAAATACATTATGTTTAAAATGAATTATTCTTAACATTGTGTTTGTGTACAATAAATAATAAAGAAATTGTTTTTTTTTTTTATATATTTTGCTTTTTTTTTTATTTTCATTCTTTTATCTCTTTTCACTGTGCATGTCTGTTGTTATTTGTGTGCTGTGAGGAATCCAAATAAATTATTTATCTGTCTATATTTCTATATTAATTAATTAAAAAGTACTTGTACCATCCATATTGTTTTAAACAACGGCATAAATCTTAGATTACAAACTATATATAGATTGGTAATGTAAAAGAGAAAAGAACATAATGAGTCACATGTTAGAGCGAGATAGAAAAGTAGGGCATTCAACTGCACAATATAAGCTCGATCGACCACCCCGTGGTCCCCCCTGGAAACCATCGTGCTGAATTCCTAGTGTACTCGTCACGAGCTGACCTGCCGACATCCTCACCTATCATGTGTCCCTGGTACTCCGCCAGCGTATACCGATAGCGCAGGCGGGGTTACCATTCTATTATCATTTATTACAAAAAAAAAAAATATATTAGCTCGAAGCTGATTTGACAAGAATATGAACAAAATAAATTCTTGTTATTTTTAAATTTGGAACAATAACTAGTTTTAAGCGGTTAAAGCGTGTTGTGCCTGGATATTAAATACATTAGGCACATTTTATTCTCTGCCAGCCAGCAAGTGCTGTGAGTCTGTAATGAATCTGACATCATTCCAATTTACTTGGCAACAATAATTATTTAGACAGTACTCCACAAAAAAAAAAAAAAAAAAAAAAAAAAAAAAACTCGAATTTAATTGTAGAAAGACCGGTTACTTTTTATTTAAAAACTAAACTGCCGAATATGCTATGATATAATTTTTACAGGAACTATAAGTATATCCTTTCAGATACAAAAAAAAAAAAAAAAAATTCGTTTAGAAACTTACAGATTAGATAGAAGAAACAGATATATTATAGATGAGATGACATAAAAGAAAAAAAAAATAAGTCAAGCACTTCCTTCTTGCAGTCATGGGCGTTGGTTGTAAAAAAATACCATAACATTTTACGATTTGTTACAGCGTTTCGCCCTTTTGATGGCGAAGCAATAAACTGAGTCGTGACCATTTTGCGTTACTGTGGCACACTCACAAGAAATTGTGTAACCTCTTTTGACCATTTTTTATTTTAATTTTATAATTTTTTTTTTACCATTACATAACGGTAATGTCAATTTAATACTGGGTCAACCTGGCAGTCGCAATGCAAGACGACTATATCCGTGGGTAGAGGTGTCCCTGACGGACTGACAGATTGACTTTCAGACAATCTCTATGAGGCTGGCATAGTCACTCCGGTGTACTAAAGCCTCGACAAAAATTTGATTAAAAAAAAAAAAACCTCTTTTTTTATGTATATCTTATATTTTATTTCTTTAAATAAGTACCAGTATCTATTATTTGTGTGCTGTAAGTGATGCAAATAATTTATCTATCTATCTATCTATCTATTTAATAGTTAATCACTGAAATAATTTCAAAATGCTGTCATTGTGAGGTGCGACAATTTATTCAGTTTGTTCTTTTCGGTTTTGGTTGTAATGTTTTGTGTATTTGTTTGTAATGTTTTATGTATTTGTTGTAATGTTTTATGTATTTGTTGTAATGTTTTGTGTATTTGTTTGTAATGTTTTATGTATTTGTTGTAATGTTTTGTGTATTTGTTTGTAATGTTTTATGTATTTGTTGTAATGTTTTATGTATTTGTTGTAATGTTTTGTGTATTTGTTTGTAATGTTTTATGTATTTGTTGTAATGTTTTGTGTATTTGTTTGTAATGTTTTATGTATTTGTTGTAATGTTTTATGTATTTGATGTAATGTTTTATGTATTTGTTGTAATGTTTTGTGTATTTGTTTGTAATGTTTTATGTATTTGTTGTAATGTTTTATGTATTAGTTGTAATGTTTTATGTATTTGTTGGTAAGCGTGTTGAGTCTCCCATCCGAGAAATAGGTATTGGCGACCCGCGCGCATGCTAAAGGTAAATAAATTAAGGGCCCGCCTGAAAATCAGCGCTATATAAGTACATCTCGCTGGAGCTGTACATATATATAGCAACAGCTGAGGCGGCTCCAGCGACCAGCAACATTAATTGTTCTTTTTTTCTTTTTGTTGTTTTAATTTTTTATTTTCTTAATACTGGTGATAAAGGTTATCTATCCATCTATCTGTATAAATTTACAAGCAATCGTTCTGCCGATGCAATGACTTATTTAAAAAATCGGCCACAATAAATTGGAATTTGGAGCTGCTGGGTGTACTTAAAAAAAAAAAACAAAACATATTGCTATAGTATTTATAAATTTAGAACTCAACAGTCGAGGGATGGGTTGCAGCGTCCCTCTTAAAACATCACCAAAGCCTAACTGCGGTTGCCAACCCGCCTGCCAAGCGTGGCAACTACAAAGCACCCCAAAGAGGAGGCTTACGTCCAGCAGTGGACAGTCAACGGCTATTATAATAAATAATAATTTATAAATGTACACAACAAATTATGAATAAGCGTATAAAACAAATCATATAAACACTAGTTGTATCTCGCGACTTCACTCGTGTGACTCAGTACATAAAGTATCCTGTGTACTGAGTTAGGATGTAACCTATCCTCGTGCCAAACTTGTTATTTTTATTGTTTTATACAACTTAAAATGGCAAACTAGCTGACGGCCCACCTGATGGAAAGTGGTAACCGTCGCCTATAGACATGAGCAGTACCATGGACATAACAGAGTATACTGTTTTGCCCATGATACCTCCATGCATTGCCATTCCTGAGGACTCAGGTAATGTGGTCAATTCAACCAATGCAATGTATACTGTATTATTATTTATACCTAATCCAAAGGTTGCCTGCGAGAGATCGCTCTCAGCGATAAGGCCGTCCATTGTTCTCTCAGTGCAATATTTCCTTGTAATTGTTTGTATCTATAATAAGTTTACTATTGTAATCTTATGGAGGGAACAATAAAGAGTATCTATCTATCGAGTATCTAGCCCGTATCAAGATCTGGGGCGTGATTTTTGATACGGGATTTGAGGATTTGCATTAAATTTGGTACACGAGTAGGTTACATCCTTACTTAACACATAGGACACTTTATGTACCAATTCACACGAACAAAGCCACAGGAAACAGTTTACTATAAATAAATTAACTACATTTATCAATTTACAAACCAAGATTCCTATTTCCTTATATATATATTCACTTCAAACGTTTTCTTCATTCCGATATTACATATTGGATAACAGAAATATCTGTTATACCCGCCAATATATAGATATTATAACTATATATTCTTTAAATCGTCTATCCTTAATTAGCAGTAGGTGGAGGGAAGTGCTAATACTTCAATACTTCGGTACAGTAGCTCCATTGCTAATTATATGTAATTAGTCAAACTACCCCCTACCCCCCTCACCCCTCCAACACCACCCACCACTAAGAAACTACCGTGGTTTATTCGCCACGAGGAGCCAACTGACTTGATCCTCACCTATCATTGCTGGTGGATCACCCACTGGTGGTCCACCAGCGTGTACCGATAACGTAAGTGGGATTACCGTCCCATTTTCATCCCATTAAAAAAAATACAGTTCTGATTAGATGCAAGTCTATGATTGTAAATATTTTATTTTATACTACGTCAGGAACCTAACATTAATAAAATATGAACATAGACAACGTTTTAACCTGTGACGGGTGTGTAGTGCCCCTGGTGACCCCATGCCCCTAATGACCCTGGTAATTTAATACCCCTTGTGATACCATGCCCCTAGGAACACTGGCGATTAAGTGCACCTGGTGATCCCATTCTTCTAGTGACCCTGGTAATTTAATGCCCCTTGTGATTCCATGCCCCTAAAGATCCTGGTGATTTAGTGCCCCTGGTGACTCTGTGCCCTAGTGACCCTGGTGATTAGTGCCCATAGCGACGTATTCACTGTGTCTTACAGAAACATCCCATATGGTTAATTATAATCCACATACTATATTTATTAACAATTCATTTGTGTACAAAGTATATTTAGCAAACATGCCCGCCCCTAGTGACTAGTGCCCCCGTGATTTATTGCTGCTACTGATAGAATTCCCGGTGGCGTTTCCCTTGGCAACTATGCCCTCGTCGACCTATGCCCCCGGCGACGTTGTCCCCAACGACTTCTGCCCTTGGTGACATCGTCGCCGGTGACTTTATGCCCTTAACGACAGTACCCCCGTCGATACCGTCGCCAGCTCCTCGCGTCTGCTGCGTGGTGTCTAGGCGCGCAAATCATGCAGCTTGTCGCAGCTGGGCGTGCGCAGGCGCTGCGCGTCCGCGTACTGTTTCGCGTCGCCAAAGTTTCGCGCCTTCCACGCCGCGCTGTCGCGGTAGTTGCGCTCGCGCTGGCACGCGTGCCGTAGTCCCACTGTGGGGACACATGTAACACATTCAAATAACTACTGACAACCAGGGGGAAAGGGATTGTTAGAGAAACCACCGTGAACAATTCTTGTTAAATTCGTCACGATGGGCTAACTGACCTGCTTCATCCTCGCCTATCATTCTTCACTGGTGCCCCGCCGGTGTAAACCGATAGCGCGGGTGGGGTTACTATTCCATTATCATCCATTAAAAAAAATACGCATGGGTTGCCAGTGATGACCTATGCAATTAAAGCAATCTGTATCCACTCTACCCATGCGCAGTAGTTATGGAAGAAAGCTCACCAATATATTCCTCCTCGATGGCCATTTCCAGACGCCGCAGCGAGCCCTGATAATCCGTGTGGAAATTCTCCTTCACATAATACGGGACCTGTAACATTTGCATAAGTGTTTTTTGTAATTGGTATATATGTACATACTTAGAAGCATTTGGCGTTCCATTGTTCCTGCCTACCCCAGTGGGAGACAAGCGTAATATTACATTACTAGGAATGGCAACGCATGGCGGGTATCATGGGCGAAACAGTATATACTCTGTTATGTCCACGGTACTGCTCATGTCTATAGGCGACGGTTATCACTTCCCATCAGGTGGGCAGTCAGCTTGTTTGCCATTCTAAGTTGTATAAAAAAATTCATTCATTCATACTTATGGCCTTATTCATAAAAACTTGAAATCTATGCACATACACCGGGCCGGGGGGAATTGTTAGTAATGTGGACTACCAGTCCCATTGCTAGCAATATACCCTGGCAGGTCGACTACCACGCGGTTCCCCCTGAAAACTGTCGTACTAAATTCCAGGTGTATTCATCACGATAGGCTAACCGACTTGCCTTCTCTCAATCTCCCCTCAATTCCCCCACTGGTGCCCCGCCAGCGCATACTGATAGCATAGACGGGGATGGCATTTCAATTTGGTCTATTAACATCATCTAGACTAGTGTTTCCTAAACTTTTCTGTCCCATGCCCCACTTGGACATTTCTAATATTTTTATACCCCCCATACATAATTTTTCCCGACAAAGTTTACTTGACGACTCTAATCGCCCAGTTGATATTTTGGTAACGTCAAACGAAATTATACCTAATAAATATATACAGCATTTTTTTAATTTACTTTTTTTTTTGTTTTTTTTTTTTTTTTTTACAACACAGGGAGCAAACGAGCATGCGGCTCACCTGACGGTAAGTGACTACCGCCGCCCATGGTCACCCACAACACCTACGGCATTGCAGGTGTGCTGCCGGCCTTTTAAAAAGGAATATGCTCTTTTCTTGAAGGTTATGTTGTCGTATTAGTTCGGAAATACTGCTGCTGGAAGTTGAATTTGGCGCCGATATCTGATCGTAGCATTGCATTTAAATGGCCCGCAGCAAGAGGGTTAATACCGCTTCGAGTCCATTTTTTTATTGCCCTCCCCTTAAGTCACTAATTGCCCCCTTGTGGGCCTCACGTTGGGTAACACCGATCTAGATTCTTCCAGATATGATGATAAGGTAACGAGGCTCACCTTCAAGTTGACAGTCTCCCTAGGCACCGGGTACTTGGAGCTGGGCGTGAGGCTGAACACCGGCTCGCTGATGAAGAAGCCCGACATCATGGAGAGCAGCACGAGCACCAGCACGGGCAGCAGCTGCACGAGCCCCGCGTGCGCCTCGCGCGGCTCGGGCTCGCGCGCCCGTCGTCGCGCGTACACCGTCGGGCCTCCGCCGGGGAACGCTGGAACCAAGCGAACAGGTCGGATCATCGTCACCCACCAGTGCCTCATTAGTGTGTACAAGTTAGATTACCGGAATGGTAACCTATATTTACTTTACCTATTCCAATAACGAAGTATCAAGTTCACGATTTTCTGTTCATCCCAAAGGTTGACTGGTAGAGAATGTCGCCCTTCTTTGCATAACGGTGGAAATTTCCATCATAACATTGAACGCCCAAAAATTATACAAAAGACCAAGTTCACTTTAAGTTGATCGTGTCTGTATACCTTTTTAATGTCCGTTGCAGAGAAAAAAATACATAGCTGTCAAATTTATTTTTTTAACCATTTTTCCTTTAATTTTGAACATGAATTTTATCACCTTGATTTTTTTTTATACAACTTAAAATGGCAAACAAGCTGACGGCCCACCTGATGGAAAGTGGTAACCGTCGCCTATAGACATGAGCAGTACCGTGGACATAACAGAGTATACTATTTCGCCCATGATACCCCCCATGCGTTGCCATTCCTGAGGACTCGGGTGTTATTCCTCTGTACCCAGTAAATTCATTGTCATATCCCACCGTTCAAACCGAAACACAGCCATGCAAACACAACTGCTTCACGGTTAAAACACGAATAGGACAGAGGTGGTCAAGCAATCGACTTTTGTACAAAGTCTCCCTCTGGTTAAATATAGTTTCAGAAAAGTTTGTTTCCTAAATTTGCCCAACCAGAAATCGAAACCAAAACCTTATTTATTTTTATTATTGAAGGACAATCTTTTTTCAAACACAAAAACCTGTGAACACTGGTATCTTTCGACGATCTTTTGTGCTCGCCCTTTTAAAGTTCGCTGCTAATTCCCTATAAGTAATAGGAATGGTAACATGTTCTCTGTAGCGATGTTTTTATCTCCTCGCGATACAGAGTGTGTTTTCCATAGGAGATATATCGTGTATGTACAAGTGGGCTACAGCGACACATCCAGTGCTGCGGCGTTTCTTCCTCGTTGTGACAAAATCTGCAAACACTATTTGGGCATAAGCCTAGTTGGACCATGTGCTTGTTTAGTTTGCAGTGTCCAGCGAGAGCCCTTGTTAAGTAGCTTTATTTACTAACAGAAACATGTTTGCACTCACCGGTCGCTCCAAAGAACATGTTGAAGAGCTCCTCAGCTGTGAGATCCGATTCGAACCCTCTGGCATAATACTGGTGGTGGGTGTGCTGGGGCTGGACTGGCTCCTCGCCCCGCAGGTCGTACTGCTTCCTCTTCTCAGGGTCTGTGAGGATGGCTGCTGCATTTCCGATTGCCTGTGAAGACATTAATATGTTTTTGTTTTTCAATGGGTGATAATGGAATGGTAACCCCGCCTGCGATAAGCGAGAATGAAAAGGCAGGTCAGCCCATCATGATGAATACACAGAGAGAGACTTTGTACAAAAGTCGATTGCTTGGGTACCTCTGTCCTATTCGTGTTTCTACCGTGAAGTAGTTGTGTTTGCATGGCTGTGTTTCGGTTTGAAGGGTGGGATATGGCGTGAATTTACTGGGTACAGAGGAATAACACCTGAGTCCTCAGGAATGGCAACTCGTGGGGGGTATCATGAACGAAACAATATACTCTGTTATGTCCATGGTACTGCTCATGTCTATAGGCGACGGTTACCACTTTCCATCAGGTGGACCGTCAGCTTGTTTGCCGTTCTAAGTTGTATAAAAAAAAATGCTCAGCAGTGGAATGTTAAGCTGATATGATGACGATGTTTATGACTGATGATTGTTGACATGACTGAATAAATTCCTTAGTTTTTAATACCTGAATCAATACATAATGTATCCTATGTGTGAAGTCAGGATATAATGTACCCCAGTTGGGGGAAAAGGGACATTTAACAGCCCCATTTCTGGCAATATACCAGAAACCACATGAAGGTCAACCTGACCTCCAGGAGGGAAGGGATTGTTAGTAATGGGGAGGTTAGTCCCCATAGCTATCAATATACCTTATCAGCTCCACATCCACAGGGTTCCCCTGGAAACCATCATGACTAATTTATTCTTGAATTCATCAGGATAGGCTAACTGACCTGCCTTTTCATCCTCACCAATCATCTCTCACTGGTGCCCTGCTAGTGTATACCGATACCGCGGGCGGAGTTACCATTCCATTATCATCCATCAAAAAAGGCACCTGATCTCCACGTGATGTCTGCTGGACACCATCCTAATTAATTCTTATTGAGCCAACTGATCTGCTTTCATCCCTTACTGGTGTCCCACTAGGGTATACCGATAGCTCAGGTGGGATTACCACTTCATAAACAAAATTAAAGCTAGTAAATAAAAAAATAAAAAATACCTTAAAGGCCTCAGCGGCGCCGGGCGCATGGTTCTTGTCGGGATGAAGCTGCAACGCCAGTTTCTTGTAGGACTTCTTGATGTCAGAATCAGTGGCTTCCTTTGTTACTCCTGCAGATTTAAAAAATAAATATCACTTGGTTATATATAATAATTAATGTATAATATAGTAAGTAAGTAAGTAGTATAGTAAGTATAATAAGTAAATACTATTCCAGTACATCTATCTATCTTATATATTAATTTTCATTTAAGAGTTTCCTCTTGTCAGTGCAACTAATTCATGCATCCTCCTCCAGCCAGCTCTATCCCAGGCCATATCCTTTATCTCCCTACACGACATGACGCCTAGTGTTTCTTTTATCTGTCCCATGTAGTTATTCCTCGGTCTTCCTCTTCCTCTTTTGCCCTCCATCTTTCCTTCTACTATGCTCTTAAAAAAATCGTCATGTCGTATAAGGTGGCCCAGCATTTTGCCTCTTCTATTCTTTATTATTTCAACCAATGTTCTCTTCTCGTTTACTTTTTTTAGGACTTCCTTGTTCATTAGTTTTTCTGTCCAACTTATCCTTTCCATTCTCCTCCATGTCCACATTTCGAATGCCTCAAGCATCTTATATATGTGTAAGTATATTTGTTATTTATATATACAATGAATGCTCTATATATAATCAACTCATTTGAACCAATTTCAATAAAAAATTAAAATTTTCTTATTGGGAAGTAAAGTTGCTTATAGGGGAAAAAGGAGTATAAAAATACCATGTGGAAAATATTTTTACTTATTTCTACACAGTGTACTCAGTACTCATACCATTTTCACCCATCAAAAAAAATAACATAGGATTATTAAAAATATATTATTTTAATATTGGCAAAATTATGGGAACCCCGATAGAACCATAAAAAAAAATATGAAAAAAAAAATTACCGAGTATTTCGTAATAGTCCTTGCATTTAGTATTGACGCGTCGGACGGCCTCCAACTGCTCCTGTGTATACTCCCGCTGCGGGGGCTGGTGGGACGGGGTCTTCCTCTTCCGTACATTTTCCTCTGTGCTAGAACTCGGAGTGCTCGGTGGTGTCCGTTTACTTGCATTTCCCGACGACCCAGCGGCTCGGACGCGCGTCAACAACTCCTTAGCCCGCGCTGAAGGGTACAAACGCTCCGCTTTTAACAAAAATCTCTCAGCTTTCTCCGTGTCGCCAGCGGAAAAAGCATTTTGAGCTATATCAATGCACTTGTCAGCCTCGTCCTTGTTCCCTTCGATCGTCATTTTCGTGTTATTTTACGGTTTTCCCGCTGTATTCTATTGTGAAACTCGTTATTGTATGACGTGGTATACACTTTTAAGTTTTCTGCGCAAATCCAATTAACGTAAACAGCTTTGTGGACATTTGCAAGAGAGAAAATAAAAATATTAATTATTCAGCAACTAATGTCGAAAGAATTACGTAGGTAGGCACTGACTAGTGACAGACGAGGTGAGCTGATTCGAATACCTATTTTTTTTTTTTTTTTTTTCTTTTTTTGTGGCGTTCACCCCGATATTAGGGTATTTTGCCAAGAACAAAACGGGGAAACGATAATAGTAATAAAAATACCTAACACAAACGAATTTAGAAAGGATAAGGATTAGGTCTAGGATATTTATAGGATATGAAACATATACTTGTACATATGAGAATATACTTATAAATATATAGGAAAAGCAATTGATGCAACTATAAATGTATTCATGTAATATAACTAAATCTTAATATTGTTATCATATATATATGAAGATAGTATTTTATAGATAATAGGATCATTGGAAGAAAGTAGAGTAAGAATAGAAGTTGGGAATGGAACACGGATGGATAGGAGATGATTAAAAAGGGAGGTGTGGTCAAATTTAGAACATGAGAAGAATATATGATTCAAGTCTGCCACTTCAGCACCGCAATTACACGACGAACTTTGTACAATACCAAGCTTGTATAAATGAGAAGGTGTGCATACGTGACCTAGACGCATACGAGTTATAATAGTTGTTGCGGTCTTTCCAAGCTTTAATTTACAAAACCATGGTTTGAAAGGAATATCGGGTTGTATAAGGCGATAAAATCTTCCTTTTACTGTACTTGTTTTTTCCCAATATTCCTTCCAGGCATACCTTAAATATATTTTTGGGAGACAAGCTAGGTCACTACAGTAATTATGATACGGATACATATCACCACAAGTTACAGCCTCTCTTGCAATAAGGTCAGCTTTGTCATTGCCGCTAATACCACTGTGTCCTGGTAACCAGGCAAAAGAAACGGAATACCCTCTCAACATGCAAAGATAAAGACTTTGTCTTATGTCACAAATAATGGGATAAACTGGTTTTGATTTAAACGGATATTTGGCTAGAGCTTGTAAAGAGCTCATAGAGTCAGTGAAAACTATTGCCTTATGTAATTTCATTAAAAGTATATATTCTACAGCTTTTAAAATACCATAACATTCCCCGGTAAAAACTGAAGACTCCGGTGGAAGTTTAATTTTTTGAACGATATTAAATTGTGAATGAAACACACCCACACCTACACAACCGCTATTGTCTGGTTTTGATGCATCAGTAAAGATGTAGTGCCATTCATTCCATTCAATGTCAGTTATAAACATAAATTTGGCATTCAATTCTGAATCATTTTTTAATAACCCAAAATCATATTTAATATTAGGAGATAAAACTAAAGATTGATATGAGCATTTATAAATGGGAAAACAGGACGATGTAAAAGTGGGAGATTCTATGGATTTATATTTTTCATAACTTTGTATTAAACATGGAGGTTTTTTATGTTTCCAATAAGATGAAGACGAAATAAAGATATGTAGTTGAGATAACTTTTGAATAAGCGGATGATCAGATAATTGTAAACAACGAAAAAAGAAGCGATCAGATAGATATTGTCTTCTTAAAACCAAAGGTGGATCACCGACTTCGAGCTGTAAAGCATTGATTGGACTTGATTTCATTGCTCCAGAGATAATCCTCAAGGCCTTTGATTGAATTAAATCCAATTTCTTAAAAGCAAATGAACTTCCTGGAGCTAACAAAAAAGTTCCATAATCAATGACACTCCTTATAAGACCATTATAAGCAAGTTTTAGTGAAACGGGATGTGCTCCCCACCAAACTCCAGCAAGGCACCTAAGAATGTTGAGGTTACGCTCACATTTCGTAGAAATATAATTACAGTGGGACAGACCTGTTAATTTATTATCTAGCACGATACCTAAAAATTTAATTTCAGTCTTTATAGGAATGTATGAGTTATCATAAAGCACCTTAATTTGTTGCGGTGATCTCATTCTTGAAAACAAAACTACACTACTCTTGGTTACAGAAAGATTAAGACCATTTGCATCTAACCACGTTTTTAACAAATCTAATGAATCAGATAATTTGGCAGAAGCAGATTCTATGGACTTCGCAATAAAATATAATAAAAGATCATCAGCATATTGTAAAATTTTGACGGATTTATCAAGGAATAATTCTAGATCGTATGTGTATATGTTAAATAAGATTGGACTAAGAACAGATCCTTGTGGAAGGCCTTTCCATACAGTTCTAGATAATTTGGTATCTTCATCTAAATCCATATGTATTGTTCTTTCTGATAAAATATTAATAATGAAATTAGAAAGCATTACCGGTACATTTAGAGCTTGTAATTTAGTTTTTAAAATAGAAATTATTACATTATCATAGGCAGAATTTATATCTAAAAAGGCTGAGAGGATTGACAAATTTTGTGAGAAAGCTATATGAATATCTGAAATAAGAATGCTCACATTATCTAAGGTGCTCTTACCTTTCCTAAAACCAAACTGGTTCGGGGATAGTAAGTTATTACTTTCTAAAAACCATTCTAGACGGTTTTTCACTAAATGTTCAGCTAGCTTTAGTAAGACAGAGGAAAGTGCAACAGGACGGTATGATGATGGTTCAGAAGGTGGTTTATGAGGCTTTAGAAATGGTATAATAATCTGAGACTTCCATGAAGTAGGTATATTTCCCGAAATAATTATGGAATTAATTATATTTAAAAAGTAAATTAATGTCGCATCGCTAGCATTTTTAAAAAAGGAATACGGTATACCGTCTTCTCCCGGTGCAGAGTCTTTAATAGAAGCGAGAACACCTTTAAGTTCTACTAGAGTAAAAGGAGAGTCAAGTTCGAATAATTCGTCAGAGACGGATAGAGAAATATTGTAAAGGCATTCCGGCACATAACTAGGAGCAAGGCGATCTAAAAATTTATTCGCTAAAGTTAAATCGAGTGCAGAACGTGATGTATGATCACTAAAGGCAGATCTGAATCTTTTAATATTATTCCAAACGACTGATGAATTAACTTCTGGACAGATAGAAGAACAAAATCTTCTCCAGCCTTCTAATTTCTTTTTTTTCAGTAGTTTTCGAGTAGAACGTGAAACTGCGGTGTAAATTTCAAAATTTTCTGTTGTCATGTAATTATTATAATTTTTTTCAGCCTCTTTACGATTTTTAATTGCTTCCGTACAATCTTTGTCCCACCAAGGTGGGGAGGGAATTTTCCCTGAAGCACTATTTTTAACAGGAAATAATAAATCAGCAACCTCCTTCATATTTATCATCAAGTCATTACAACATTGATGTTCATTTCCATGGTAAACAATAGGTAACTCCGATATTTTATTATCTAAATATTGTTTGTAAATATTCCAGTCTACATTTGATAAATTATATTTAAGCCGAGGACCACTCTTTCGACTTGAGGGAATGGAAATTGGAAAAGAAAGAATGAGGGGAAAGTGATCGCTTCCGAAAGTAGAGGAATGAGGATACCACGACAGTGAAGAAGCTAAATCAGAAGAACATATTGAAATGTCAGGAGCACTAAACCCTTCATTCGGTGCAGTTCTACGTGTTGGTACATCTGAGTTAATAATACATAAGTTGTAAGTGTCAATTATCGTCAGGAGTTTTCCACCATAAAAATTAGAAGTAGAACTGCCCCACGATTGGTGCTGAGCATTAAAATCGCCCATTACGAGAAAAGGTTTAGGTAAAATTGAAAATAATTGTTCTAGTTGTGAATATATTTGGCATGTAGGATCAGGAATATATAAAGTAACAAAACAGATACCATTTATAATTATAGCAGCTGCATTAATGCCGCTATATACAGGAAGCGAAAAAGAAGAAAAAGGAAGGGAGTTTTTGACCAATATGGCAACACCGCCATATCCGTCAGCTGATAGAGCTGACGGATATGGCGGAGCTCTCTTGGAGAGCTATTATAAAAGGATTATATTTATTAATTAAATAAAATAAGTCTGATTTCTTGTTTGTTATGCTACGACAGTTCCACTGAATTATTAGGACTTTGTAATCCATTGTGAGAAGTTAATAATTGAGAAAATACATTGTAAATGGCATCGTTGGACGGTGGTAAAGTTGTTTGTATCATTTTCGATTGCGATAACACTTTAATAAGCATGAGAATAATATCAAAGATGGATTGATTATTGTCAATATTATTTGATGATAATGCACAACCATTAGAGGGAGCAGGAATATTATATTCCTTAACTATGGCTTCATGGGCAGAACGATCATATCCTTGTTGTGCTTTTTGAGGAGAGCGTGGTTTAAGTGTAACTGTTTTTTTATATGATGATTGAATATGTGGTAATGATGATTTCTCTTTAAGGAAAGAAGATTGAAAATGAGATTTATTGGACGGAGATGATGATGTTAATACATCTGAATATAGTTTAGAAGTGGGAGGATGAAATTTTGATGCTTCAGCATAAGAAACACAACTGTGGGCCATTGTTTCTTTAATGGCTTTCTGACGTGCATATTCAGGACATTTCTTACTAATTGCTGAATGAGAACCATTACACAAGATACAAGAAACATTTTCCTCATCTACTTCACATTTATCACCTGTATGATTTAGCCTGCATTTATAACATCGAGGATTTGAACGACACTGCATCTTGACATGTCCGAACCTACAGCAGTTATAGCATTGGATAGTGGGGTAAATGTACAAATCTACAGTTAATGATGTGTAAAACATAAATACTCTTTTTGGTAATATTTGTCCATCAAAAGTAATAACAATGGTTTCAGTATTAATAAAACTTGGTTGTCCTTCATTAATGGTCTTTTTCTTAATTCTTCTGGTTTTTAGAATTCTCCCACAACCTATAGGTACTGATATATTTTGGATTACTTCCTCTTCTGTCCAATCTTTAGGAATACCCCTCACAATTCCCATACGGGTTACATGGAAAGAAGGTATAAATGCCTTAAAATTATGTGTTTCTAAGTGACTATTATTTAAAAATGCATTTGCATTTTCAAAATTTGAGAAAGAAAGCGATAAACGGTTTCTTCCTATTCTTTTGAGGCTACCATTCACTATATTATTTATCTTATTAGTGTGTAAAAAGCGACCAAATGCAATAGGATGTAATGTAGTGTTATCATTAGGATGTGTTTCATTTTTTTGTACATGAACGACATAAGGAGCTACATCCTCGGCATTGTACAAAGTTCTGCTTAAAGTACTGGGTGGAGAAGCAGGTTTAACAGACTCGGTATTATTTACAACTGGTATTGATACTTGAGTTTGATTCTCATCCTCAATACATTGACAATCACTATCTTTAATTTTAGATTCGAGACCTTTGGTGTGCCTCCTTCGTTTTTTATTGCAATGTTTGCAAATGCGACGTTCGCCACGTACTCGCTTACGTTTAGAACTTGCAACGCTAGAACCATCTGTGTCCATACTAGATTCACCCAATATATCAAAACTATTATTAAATGGGATAGTTATATTTGCAGACACCTGGGGGGTTGTCCCCCCAGGGTCTATAGGTGGATCCATAATGTCTAGTTAATATAGGTAATTTACTTACCAATATTTACAGCAACAAACACTATTACTACAAAATATACAATTATATATACAATCTAATACACAATATATAAATAAGACTAATCCTTATATAATTAAAAATAAAATTAATTTAAAGAAGATCAAAAAACACTCCCGCTTTTTTAAACGTTTCCCGCGCTTTTTTTTCCGAATACCTATTGTCTACTAATATAATATTATATTATCTGTGGTATTGTTAAGACTAAATAAGAATTTAATAAATTATCATTATAACCAATGTACAGAATTCGATTACTACGTATTTAAATATAGGTTTCAAGTACTTCCGATATTTAAATACTTTTTTACCATTTCATATTACAATTTACTGTATTTTTTATTTTGATAAATGGTGTTATAAAGTATAAATAAATAAATGAATACCACTCGCGTATACCTAATTTTTTTATTTTTGTTTTATAGCTTTACTAAAAATTTCTGTTGGTTTAGTCATTTGAAGAGGATAGATAGAAGAAGAATTATAAAAGAGATTTATCAAGTACGAATAAATGGAAATATCTGTGAGTGCGGTCCTAGACGGATGCATGTTAACTAAATAAGAAGGGGCAATTATATAATATATAAAAGTACTCATAATTGACGATTTTGTATAAAAAATTGATGAATGTGTAAGAAGCAAAAGAGATCTGTTTGAACCGGAATATTTGCCTTTCCATTGTTTCTGCCTACCCCAATGGGAGACAGGTATGAAAAATATGTACATAGTTTCATTAATTTCTTCATTAATTACCAATTGAAAAATTATAATAAATGACAGAATATTTATCATAAATTACAGTAAATTATAGAAAAAAAATATTGAATCCGATGAGGTATTGAAATACCTATATATATATATATATATATATATATATATATATATATATATATATATATATATATATATATATATATATATATATATATATATATATATATATATATATATATATATATATATATATATATATATATATATATATATATATATATATATATAGGTTTGTCCGGAAAGTACGTATAAAAGTTTTTTAAAAATTTTATTTTACAATTATTCAGGTAAATCAATTTTATCCCCTTCAAAGTACTCCCCCTGTGACATAATGCACTTGTGCCAACGCCGTTTCCACTGTGAGAAGGCTCCTTGAAAGTCCTCTGGTTGTAGGTTTCTCAGCTGCCCCGTCGTAGCTTTTTTTATCTCATTTATGTCCCCCAAATGCCGCCCCCGAAGTACCAATTTGGTTTTTGGGAACAAGAAGAAGTCACACGGGGCCAAATCCGGCGAATAGGGGGTGTTCGGTCACCGTAATGGAATTTTTACTCAAAAACTCACGGAACGATCTTGGCGCAAATTTTTTTCATTTGAAGTTCGTTTCTTAGAATTTCGTGGACCACGGTTTTGCCCAAATTAAGCTCTTCAGCCACCTGTCTGACCGTTAAACGACGGTCCCCATTAACACAAGTTCGAATTCTTTCCACGTTTTCGTCGGAATGTGAAGTGGAAGGACGTCCTGAACGTGGGTCATCTTGAACGCTTTCTCGGCCCTCTCTGAATCTTTTTAGCCACTTGTGGACGGTTGGTTCCTTCACAGCATTCCCCATAAACTGTTCTGAGATCGGCAAAAATTTCACGGCCATTCTTGCCGAGTTTCGAGAGAAACTTGATTACGACGCGCTGCTCTTCAACGGAAGCGGGCTCCATGCCGACGGGGTTTCGTTAAGAGGTAACTTCACAGATGGCGTGACAAGCCAGTTCGCACCGCACGGCGGTCAGACCAGAACTGAAGCATTGTTAGGGACATAAGGAAGGGGTCCTGCGCTTACCTGGCCTCCCCACTCCTCTTTCTCGCATTCCAGAACACTTTTATACGAACTTTCCGGACAGACCTCGTATATATATATATATATAAGTAGTCTAAATTTTCAACTAAATCTTGATACACAAGTCATGACACGATTATTTTTTAATGAATACCAAAGTACTCGAATACATAATAGACATGAATGAGACATCACTACAAGGTCATACATCATAGACTAAGAATACTACCTGACAGCTGATATACCAAGTCTATGCTACTACGTCGTTTCTGTTATTGTCACTAGTTAAATGTCACAAGTCATTGTTGTCATATGACGCATGACGCATACGGCGTAATCAAGGATTCGCAATTTTGTATTTTTACCTCCTTGTTTTATTCTCATTCTGTAAACGTTTGTAATTTGCGAAACTGTGTTTACGATTGTCTCAAATATAAGTGTACTACAACGAAACAATTTAATTCGTTGTACGGACGTTATATTGTAAATTTGACCTTTCAGCCGCTGGAAAAATCTGAAAACTGAAATGACAGCGCCACCGATCTACAACCCTGTGAGTATTATTAATCATCATTTTTAAATACATAGGAATCATAATTTCGTCAGCAACAATGATTAAGCGGTCATTTCTGAGTAATATTATCCACTAGTTTGCTTTTTAAAAGTATATTACAAGAATATTTCATTAAAAAAATGTTATACATAATATTCTACAATATTTTCGTATTGTCTTAGCAAATTCAAGGGCGTTCGGTACAGTACGATGTTATTTACATTGTACTATCAATAAATAGGTATTACCGAAATTAGAAGGTTGGATAACCTAATATAGTGTTAGAAACAGCGCGGCGTTCCAAGGCCGGCTTTTTCATGATAGGTAGCTGCGAATTTATGAGAAAACATTTAGCGTATGTTTTTTTTTTCAGTATGAATTAATTCAACCTCGTTATTTGCCCTTCCAGTGTGTTCAATTCAATATAACATAAGATTTATAATAGTATGAATTGATATTATAAATATAATAAAATCTTTTATATCGTACTAGTTACTTAACCCGGTTTCGCACAGTCCTGTATTTTCCATCTCTCTCTCTCTTCGTCCTCTTCATTACTGAAGGTCGTGTCCTTGAAAGGTGTCCGTTGCCTCTCTTATGATGTTATTCCATTGTATTTTCCATATGATTTTTCAAATGTTTCATCCTATATAAATCTTGTCATGAAAATTATGAACATCACAAAAAAGAATCATTACAATTTATATTTATATAGATGAATAAAAACATGATGATGCTTAGTTGGCTAATGCTTTATGCCCATGGGATCCCTAAAATAAATAAATCCCTCATACTGGACTGTGGTGGCCTTCAAGCCTTGTAATTTCACTGCCATATCTCCATCCTTTGGACTGAAACACATGATTTCACTCTATTAACATAACATCTAAAACATTTATCTTAGTCATTATCTGTCCACTACTGGACATAGACCTTGCCCATAGACTACCATAAAGAATATTCTTGAGCCACCTGCGTCCACTGATTACCTGCAATGCATTTAAACTCGTTACTCCGTCTAAGGAAGTTCATCACACTATATTTGCAAATATAGTGTTGTTTACAGGGTACAGAGGAATAACACCTGAGTCCTCAGGAATGGCAACGCATGGGGGGTATCATGGGCGAAACAGTATACTCTGTTATGTCCACGGCACTGCTCATGTCTATAGGCGACGGTTACCACTTTCCATCAGGTGGGCCGTCAGCTTGTTTGCCATTCTAAGTTGTTTAAAAAAAACCGGCCTATTGCCACTTCATCTTCATCCTTCCATAATATAACTACAGTGTAACTATCATAACTGCACATACTTTATGTGTGATTTAGAAGCATCTATCACTGTATATTGTCATAATCACAGGCAGGAGTGTCCTCTGATAATAGGGGTTCATTGACTTATTATCACACACACAGTAAGGTGAACATGTGTCATATAGATAGATGAAATAATAGATAAGGCAGCCAAACAGGCTGTTGAGGATGTAACAGAAATCCTATGTAAGCTGTATGCAATTGAAGTTATTTGTAAAATTAAGATTTACTGTGTCATAACTTGAAGAAACTGGGGGGGGGGAAGGGGATTGTTAGTAAAGGGGATTAGCAACTCGATTACTAGCAATATACCCTGTCAGGTCGACCTCCACCTGATCCCCCCTGAAAACCATCGTGGTGAACTCCAGGTGTATTCATCACGACGGACTAACTGACCTGCCTTTTCATTATCACCGATCACCCCTCCCTGGTGCCCCGCCAGTGTATACCGATAGCGCAGTTAGGGCTACCATTCCATTATCCTCCATTAAAGAAAAACCGCTAATTATCATTATTCTGAGAATTTCCTCAAGATGTCGCGTCTCGTGTCGCCAGGTGACGTCACTGTGACGTGAACACGTCACCAATTAGTACCGCTGACTTCCTCAAACCACATATGGCAGACTTACTTAGCAAGTTTGTTTTAAAACATTTTTAATAATTTACTAGCGACCCGCCCCGGCTTCGCACGGGTGCACATTATATTACATCACATTAGAAACCTCTAAATTTCTCAATGTTCCTCTACAATATTACGCATGTATTATACATATAAACCTTCCTCTTGAATCACTCTATCTATTAAAAAAAATCCGCTTCAAAATCCGTTGCGTAGTTTTAAGTATTTAAGTATACATAGGGACGGACAGACAGCGACAGCAGTTAAAGAGCGGTTTTTTTTTTGATGGGTGAAAATGGTACGGTAACCCCGCCTGTGCTAACGGGATACGCTGGCGGAGCACCAGTGAAGGGTGATAGGTGAGAATGAAAACAGGCCAGTTAGCCCGTCATGATGAATTCATCGGGAATTAACCATGATAGTTTCCAGGGGGAATCGCGAGCAGGTCGACCTGGTTGGGTATATTGCTAGCAATAGGATTCTCAGTCTCCATTACTAACAATCCCTTGCCCCCCACACTACTGATGTATTACCAATGTGTACATCATATCTGCCTTTAACTGTCCACCGCTGAACACAAGCCTCCCCTTGGGGGGTCCTGTCAGTAGCTAGCAAGCTTGGCAGGCGGATTGGCAACCGCAGTTAGGCTTTGGAGATGTTTTAAGAGGGACGCTGCTGCCCGTCTCTTACCCTTCCTTAGTCGCCTCTTACGACACCCACGGGAAAGGAATACTGTGCCGGGACCACACTGTGAACATCAATGTTTATCATACATTATACACTATTATGGGTTATAATAGACAATCCTGCAACTCTCAGCCGTTGTTCTTTGTACGCGCACCAACGCTGCATGCGATTGCGTGCACGTCGATTGCTGTCCGCACCGCCGGTTCGCACCTGCACTGCTCAGTTTGCTTCCACTTATCAGGCTATTTCTCTGCTCAACTCTCTGATTGCTCGGCAGCCAGATATTGACATATTTAATGACAAAATAGATATATTTTTAAAATGTTGTACAAAATTTGTAAGTTTGTTAAGTAAACCTATGGCTCACTACACGTTTTGGGAGACTGTAAGTGTGGTGAGTAAGTTATAAATAAATAAATAAATACTTCTTGATGTTACTTGTTATTTAAAATGTTCACATCCATTATCAAATTGATAGTTAAATTATTACTGGATTTAACCAATCAATGAATAATTGGATTTAAATTATCTTAAATGGACAATAATGCGGATTGTTAATAATGCGGACTACCAGTCTCATTGTTAGCAATATGTCCAAAAAGGTCGACCTCCACGTAGTTCCCCCTGGAAACCAAGCTGAATTCTAAGTGAATTCACCACAAGGCTAATTGACCTGACTTTTCATTCTCACCTATCATCTCTCACCGGTGCCCCGTCGGTGTATACCGATAGCGCGGGCGGGGCTACCATTCCATTCTATTATCATTCATTAAAAAAAATATTATATTGAATTAATAAGCAATTAGAAATGGGTATTATTCTATGTCTATATGGAAAGATATATAGAAAGATACTCCCTTATTGTTCCCTCCATAAGATCACAATAGTAAACTTATTATAGATACAAACAATTACAAGGTAATATTGCACTGAGAGAACAATGGGCGGCCTTATCGCTGAGAGCGATCTCTTGCACGCCACCTTTGGATGGGGAGGAGTAAGACATTCTGTAATTTCTCTGCAGCTAAGGAAGTGCTACGCCAAGAGGGTCTTTTTTTTTCAATAAATGATAATGGAATGGTAACCCCGCCTGCGCTATCGGTATACGCTAACGTGGCACCAGTGAGGGATGATAGGTGAGGATGAAAAGGCAGGTCAGTTAGCCTGTCGTGATGAATACACCTGGAATTCAGCACAATGGTTTTCAGGGGGGATCAGATGGAGGTCGACCTGACAGGGTGTATCGCCAGCATTGGGACTGGTAGTCCATATTACTAGTAATCCCCTCCCTTCCCACTCCAAGAGGGTCATGCCAAGTATCCTTGCTTGTGGCAAGAAATGTAAACAACTAAAAACAATTTTAAATTTATTGTTGCGTTTTGTGTTCCAGATCATACCATGCGTGCACCCGATCCCCGGGGGGATATTCCCCGGCCGCATGATCCGGTTGCAGGGTAACACCCCACCCGGCGCTCAGAGGTATGTCCTGCTAAACCTACCTTTTCCTACATTTTTTCAACGCATGATAATGGAATAGCAACCCTGCCTGCGCTATCGGTATACGCTGGCGAGGTACCAGGGACACATGATAGGTGAGGATGAAAAGGCAGGTCAGTTAGTCCATCGTTATGAATAACACCTGAAATTCAGCACGATGGTTTTTAGGAGGGACCACGTGGAAGTCGACCTGGTTGGGTATATTGCTGGCAATGGGACCGGTAGTTTTTTTTTTTATGAGTGAAAATGGAATGGTAACCCCGCCTGCGCTAACGGGATACGCAGGCGGAGCACCAGTGAAGGGTGATGGATGAGAATGAAAACAGGCCAGTTAGCCCATCATGATGAATTCATCAGGAATTAACCATGATAGTTTCCGGGGGGAACTGTGCGGAGGTCGACCTGGTTGGGTATATTGCTAGCAATGGGATTTTCAGTATCCCAACACTCCCTCCCCCCCCCCCCCCGGGACAGGTAGTTCGCATTGCTAAAAATCCCTTCCCTCACCTTTTCCTGCAAACTTCAGAATGATTTTGATCGATATTTGGTACACGTGTAGATTGTACCCTTTTTCGACCAAAGGATATCGACTCACTCGAATGAAGCCACGAGATTCAACTAGTTTTATAATATGGAATGGTAACCCCGCCTGCGCTGTCGGTATACGCTGACGAGGTACCAGGGAAACATGATAGGTGAGGATGAAAGCAGGCCAGTTAGCCCATCGTGACGAATTCCACAAGTATTAACCATGATGGTTTCTAGGGGGAACCACATGGAATCGACCTGACATTTATTGTTAGCAGTAAGGCTGTTAGACCCCATTACTAACAATCCCTTCCCCCCTTCATTGGGGTATTACCTTACTTTTGAAGTCGGTTAAAAATGGAATCTGTTCCTTTTTAAATTCGTAATATTACTTAAATTAGATAGGCCGTGTGGTCCCGGCATAGAATAGGCCACCCCTTCCTTTCCCGTGGGTGTCGTAAGCGACTAAGGGAGGGCGAGAGATGGGCAGCAGCGTCCCTCTTAAAACATCTCCAAAGCCTAACTGTGGTTGCCAATCCGTCTGCCAAACGTGGCAAGTACTGGCAATAGAGTTCATGTTCAGCAGTCAACAATTAAAGGCTGGATATGATGATGATACCTTGGATTCTTTTTTTTATACCACTGAGGTGGCAAACAAGCATACGGCCCACCTGATGGTAAGCGGTTACCGTAGCCTATGAACGCCTGCAATACCAGAGGTGACTTGTTTATTTCAAATCCCCAAATTCGTGACCTAATTTCCAGGTTCGCAATCAACTTGCAGTGCGGTCCCAACACGGACCCGCGCGACGACATCGCCCTCCATCTCAACTTCCGCTTCGTAGAGATGTGCGTTGTACGTAACCACCTCACCGCCATGGAGTGGGGCGTGGAGGAGCTCGGCGGCGGGCTGCCGCTGTCCAGGGGCGACCAGTTCGAGGTGCTCGTGCTGTGTGAGCCGCAATCGTTCAAGGTAACTACAGTTATTTACTATATTCCATAGTAAATCCAGGGGTGGTCGGCTTCACCAGACCCAAGATTGTTTACCGACGAGACCCTGTGCGATCTACCAATTGCATACTTCATGAGATCACAGATGTAACGGCACAGTTCAGTACACGAGCGTGTAGCGTTGCAGTATTGTTTGTTGTATTAAGAGGGAGAACGTAAAACTGAAACTGCTTCTCGGCGACTACTTGTTTATATTAGTGCGAGCGTCGCGTCCTAGCGTCCTCCGCTACATTAGCGATGTATTATATTTTTCGCCTTGCCACCGTCCACTGGACTAGTGGTCGCGATCCATCGGTTGACCTTTCTATCGTGTATATAGTATAAGGCATGTTACCATCATCGCCTGGGTACGGAGGAATAACACCTGAATCTTCAGGAATGGTAACGCATGGGGGGTATCATGGGCGAAACAGTATACTCTGTTATGTCCACGGTACTGCTCATGTCTATAGGCGACGGTTACCACTTCCCATCAGGTGGGCCGTCAGCTTGTTTGCCATTCTAAGTTGTATAAAAAAAAATCGCCATATTGACCTTTAACTGTCCACTGCTGGACATAAGCCTTCCCCATAAGTGGAGTTTTGCCAATAGTTGCCCACGCTTGGCAGGCGGGTTGGTAACCGCAGTTAGCCTTTTAGAGATGTTTTAAGAGATGCTGCTTCGCATATATAGTATGTATACATATATATATATATATATATATATATGTAAATGTTAAACGACATACAAATATAAAAAGAAATTAAAGACGTACCCTGCAGTCCATAAGTAAGAGTCGACACCCCTGTCGCGGGCTTGGAGTTTTTTTTTTAATGGGTGATAATGGATTGGTTACCCCGCCTGTGCTATCGGGATACACTAGCGAGGTACCAGTGATGGATGATAAATGAGGATGAAGTAGGTCAGTTAGCCCATCGTGACGAATTCAACAAGAATTGTTCACGATGGTTTCCAGGGGGAACCACGTGGAGGTCGACCTAATAGGGCGTATTGCTAGCAATAGGGCTGTCAAACTGCATTTGCTAACAATCCCTTCCCCCCACACGGTCGTGGTTTAATTCTCTGCTGCTAATTAACCTTTAGGTTTCCTTTTTTCATTCAAAATTGAATATTATATACGATGTATGGAAAGTATCGATATTTTTAAAGGATATATATATATAATACCGATAACAGATTTTGATATATCGAAAAATATCGGTCTATTTTTTAGGCGACATCCCTAGTTTAAGTGTGCACTTTGCCACGACTAGATGTCGTGAGAAGGCACTACGCAAAAATATTCTCAAAAACTACTGAACCGATTTGTCCGCCACCCACCGCACGTTTACACTTAGCGTGCCGTGCGCAACGAAACCTTAGTGCGTGCTAAAATGACACTGGCGCCATCTAGTACGCGCAGTGGGAACTAGAATTTAATTCGATGAATCCCCTAAGCAGATTTTGGGTGGTTTTATACAGTACTAGCGAGCCGCCCCGGCTCCGCTCGGTTTATTTAATAAAGTACTTTTTAATATAGTTTTCTATAGGTGAAAACATAACAATGTATGCAAGGAGCTTGATATCTTCCAACAATCCTTGCAATGTTACATTGAGGCTGCCAATTTGTTACTTTAAATCTATAGCCGTCATTCTTTTAATGTTTCTAATATCGAATGTTACGCAGAGCAGTTGTTGAAGTGCAAATTTGATGCTGTTTTATGTAATATTTATTTTATAAATGTATTAATTTGTAATCTGTCGCCTTGCTATAAATAAATAAATAAATAGGTGAAAGAATTTTTGAAATTAATTAAATAGTTTTGTAGAATTTGTGCATTAAAGACGAACTATGGATTCTTTACACGTTATATTTACCTTTAAAAATATATATATTTTCTGTGTATATATTATATAGTTTGATATTAATTATATATATATATATATATATATATTTTATTATCTTCTTAACCGACTTCGAAGAGGGAGTTCTAAATTCGGTTGTGTTTTTGTTTGTTTGTCACCTCATAACTCCGTCAGTTGTGAATCGAATAATAGATTGTTTTTTCTGAAAGGGCATACGTACAGATCGGTCGTGTAGAAACGGTCACAATTTAAGTTTTTTTTATTTTATTTTTTATTTTTACTAGTTCTACCTCACGGCTTCGACCGTGATAGCATTTTACGCATAAAAAATATTGTTTTTTTAAATAATAAACCACGATGATTTGTCTGTCTATACTTATAATAAATCTGTAGATAGGTCAATTCTGTACATGAAATATATTTGCAAAATAACTATCAGGCGGTGATTAGTGATCGATACTGATGCCGAAAATGCAATCAGTAAAATTTTTGTCCCTCTGTATGTATGTTCGTTATAGAAACAAAAACTACTCGACGGATTTTAACGAAACTCGGTACAGTTATTCTTCATACTCCCGGGCAGGTTATAGTATACTTTTCATTACGCTACGATCAATAGGAGCGGAGCAGTGAAGGGAAATGTTAAAATAATGTCCACCCGTGCGACGCCGGGACGGGCCGCTAGTTATTAATAAATTCGTCATTGCGTGCAAATTGACCCGCTTTCGTCCTCACCTTTCATGTGTCCCTGGTACCTCGCCAGCGTATACCGATAGCGTAAGCGGGGTTACCATTCCATTATCACCCATTAAAAAAAACAATCCCCCCTCCTAAGGGGTACCATATACATCCCCGGCTACGGGGGGAGTTGACCCTGTCAGGTCGACCCCCACGTGGTTCTCCCTGGAAACCATCATGACTAATTTAACTTTGAATTCGTCACGATGCGCTAACTTGCCTGTTTTCATCCTCACCTATCTATGTGTCCCTGGTACTCCGCCAGCGTATACCGTTAGCGCAGGCGGGGTTACCATACCATTATCACCCATTAAATATTTTTGCATCAGACGGGACGTATGCCTGTTGGCAATTCAAAGTAAAAAAAAAATCTGATTTAATTCCAGATTGCGCTGAACGGCGTCCATTTCACGGAGTTCATGCACCGCATTCCGTTCTCGAGGGTCTCCCACCTGACCGTAGACGGCGACGTTGGCGTGCAGTTCATAGGCTTCGAGGGGGCGCAGCCAGGACCACAGCAGGTCTACATGGTGAGTCAGCGCTTCTCTTTTAATAGCTCTTACCAGATGGAGACTGTACAAAAGTCGTTTGCTTGGCCACCTCTGTCCCATTCGTGTTTCTACCGTGAAGCAGTTGTGTTTGCATGGCTGTGTTTCGGGTTGAAGGGTAGGATATGAGATGGGGCAGTGAATTTACTGGGTACAGAGGAATAACACCTGAGTCCTCAGGAATGGCAACGCATGGGGGTCTCATGGGCGAAACAGTATACTCTGTTATATTCACGGTATTGCTCATGTCTATAGGCGACGGTTACCACTTTCCATCAGGTGGGCCGTAAGCTTGTTTGCCATTCTAAGTTGTATAAAAGATAGATAAATAAACACTTCATTTGAGCCATTTATGATACGTAAATTAACAAATGAGTTCGTACAATTAAAAAAGTGCCCCTCTGGTAAAAGTTTTGAAGAACCCCATGCTGTAGTCACTTGGGAGAACCTCGGCAGGGAGCTCATTCCATAACCTGAGTGTTCGTGGGAGGAAACATCTCTGAAACCGCGTTGTACGCGACCATTGAGGCTGTAGGGTATGAGGGTGAACTCCCTGTTGATGATAGAAAGTGGTCGATGCATACTAAACAGGAATGAGAAACTATAAGCTAGTGTACAGTAATATACATGTTTTGCAGGCGGATCCGCCCGCGTACGGGTCGTACGGAGCCCCCCCGCCGGCTTATGGTGCCCCTGGGTATGGAGCCCCGCAAGGTAACTACCATGTACTAGCTTACTTACTAACGTAATGTAGATTTAACTCTCTTTTCCGCGCTTAGCCTCTCATTTGGGCCGTTGTGCGTATGAGTCGTGGCTAGTACAGCCAACCTAGCTCCGCCCAGAAGCGCAGAAGCTTCCTGGGATCTTCACAGGCCTCACGGAGCGACCTCAGTTCCGAGGATTTCTAAACGTTGACGGGCCACAGCCTCACATTCCAGGATTACGTGAGCAGCCGTTTCTTCGGTGTCGAAACAACGTCGACATAGCGGGCTGTCTTACCTATTAATGCAATGATGCCTTCAGGGCACTTTTGGGGCTACGCCATCGCTGTAATGTCTTTTTTTTTAATGGATGATAATGAAATGGTAACCCCGCCTGCGCTGTGGGTATACACTGGCAAGGTACCAGGGACACATGATAGGTGAGGATGTAAAGGCAGGTCAGTTAGCCCATCGTGACGAATTCAACGATAGTCACGATAGTTTCCAGTGGGAACCGCGTGGAGGTCGACCTGATAGGGTATGTTGATAGCAATAAGGAGTAACCTCCCCATTACTAACAATCTCTTCTCCCCCGCTGTAGTGTGTCTCCATGTTTGCACCAGGGTATACTGATGATTTCTACGCAATACGGCGCAAACAGGGGGGAAGGAAAGGGATTGTTAGCAATGGAGTTTGACAGCCCCATTGCTAGCAATATGCCCTATCAGGCCAACCTCCGCGTGGTTCCCCCTGGAAACCATCGTGAACAATTCTTGTTGAATTCGTCACGATGGGCTAACTGACCTGCTTCATCCTCACCTATCATCCCTCACTGGTGCTCCGCCGGTGTATACCGATAGCGCAGGTGGGGTTACCATTTCATTATCACCCATTAAAAAAAAATACGGCGCAAACGAATTGTTTCGCTGTTGGGTAGGGTGCGTGTTAGATCAAACAGTGTCCTGAAGACGATTGCTGGTAAAATGGACTGTTCCATCCTGAAATATTGGGTGGGACAGGTTATCAATGCAAGAATGTTTTGACCGCTCATTTACTAACATAGGTTAAATAAATTTTAACTAACAAAATGGGCGTTATGACGACTGAATTAATAATAGTATATTACTGCAGCGGCCAGCAACTGAGGCATTGATGGACGAACGTGCAAATGTGGGCCGAGGTGTAGCCGAGGCACACATACGTGAGCCCATCAATGCCTAGTTGTGGCCAAGGCTTGTATAGTACTTTTCTCAAACAATGCGCGGAAATCAAAAACACAAATTTACTTTTTAAGTTCAATGACGAATAACGAACAATTATAATTTTTCACGCGCCATAATGTTCCTTTGTTTGTTTTTTTTTTTTCAATAAACAGCTTTCTATTTGCAAGCTAATTCGAAATTTAAATAAAACCTTTTATTAGTTACCTCCTTGGTAGCCATGTTTCGAAGCAAAAAGTCATTCCATTTTTAAATTACAGGACAGATATGAGTTTACATAGTAATTTATCTGGCCGCAAAACACGGCAGATATGGATTTTCATACAACTTTTGCCGGCCGCTGCCCGCATGTATCTGGCCAGTACGGCAATTTTGATTTATCTCGAAGAAGATTGTCAAAATAATGCTCACATTTCCAAGCATGTTTGAGAAAATATATTTTATTATTAAAAATAATTAAGTTGTACCCGGGCGACATCTGTACGTGGAGGGGTTTTCAAAAAAAACTCATATAAGAGTTCTCAGACCTTAGATAGAAGTCAAAATAATGATTTTTTTTTAGAAATTTTGTCTCTCTATTATGTTTTTGTTTCGTAAACAACCGCACCAAATTGTATAAGTCTTTCTCGCTTGTATACCTGAAGGTCCTGAAAATTTATGTCTACAGGCGACGGTTACCACCCTCCATCAGGTGGGGCGTTAGCTTTTTTTTTATACAACTTAGAATGGCAAACAAGCTGACGGTCCACCCGATGGGCAGTGGTAACCGTCGCCTACAGACACGAGCAGTACCGTGGACGTAACAGAGTATACTGTTTCGCCCATGATACCCCCCATGCGTTGCCATTCCTGAGGACTCGGGTGTTATTCCTCTGTACCGTGTACAGCCTCATAAACTCTAAACTCTCTACATTACAGTTCTATAAATATTCCACGTACAGACTGACTGTAATTATGTATATACACAATTACCTTCACGCCTACAATTCAATAGGAGGTAGACATAGGCATTTTATATTCACTTACCATTTTATCTTTGATTAAAAATATGCAGATCTATTTTTTTTATAAACCTATTAAAATCTATGGTTTACAAGGAGATATATATATATATATATATATATATATATATATATATATATATATATATATATATATATATGACTAGCTTTTACCCGCGGCTTTGTCCGCGTGACCGGGACATGTACATACACTAATATCATAAAAAGGGGGGCGGGGAAGGAATTGTTAGCGATGGTGTCTGACAGCCCCATTGCTATCAATATATCCTGTCAGGTCGACCTCCACGTGGTCCCTCCTGGAGACCATCGTATTGAATTCCAGGTGTATTCACCACGATAGGCTAACTAACCTGCCCTTTCATCCTCACCTGTCATCACTCACTGGTGCTCCGCCAGCGTATACCGTTAGCGCAGGCGGGGTTACCATTCCATTATCATCCATTAAAAAAAACAACTAGTGTACCAAATTCCATTCAAGTCCATTCAACTGTTTGATGCTGATTGTTCAACAAACATACATATATTTTAATATTACGTATTTTATTAAATATTTAAATGTAATAAAAATATACTTACAACAGATTTGAAAAGTTTTTAACGCCAGAGGGAGCCACCCTCACACGTACACTAGTAGTTCCGACGTAGTAAGGGAATGTTTTCGTAAAAAAAAAGTTTTTTTTTTAAATTAAAACAATAACTCGGGAGTGTTGTGTGTATATATATATATATATTTTTTCTATTAAAGGTAAGTTCTCTATGTATTAACAATCACGCATTGTTCCTAACGCACTAACCTGTACCTAACTTCACTGTCTACTCTCGTACCCTAAGAACAAGGAGTTTACATAGAAGGAGTGATAAAATTGTCAATTCATAGCAGGTGTAAGCGACGCGTTCTGTGCCTCAAAACTCAATAGTTTGTCTATGTCATTGTCTATGCGTGCGGTCGTTTAAACTTATAATCGGCGCAACGGACGCCACACGCCCAGTCTGCACCTAGATACCATCGACACCATACGTCTATTTATTTATTACCTATAATTAACGATATTAAAAACGTAAAATAATATCCAATTGTTAAAGTCTTCGTTTTCTTGCCATCATTCGTGACCTACCATATTCCATACCATACAGCAGGCTAGTGTACAGAATATGTTATACGGCCGTATAACCCTACCAAATTCAGATGCAACCTGCTCGCATACTGTCTACATAAACTGTGTCCAATATATAATCTAGTAATGTAACATTTATCATTGACAAATAATTGACATATCAAACATTGTCTATACACCAGCCTGCTGTGAATTGAGAGAAATAACAACCTGACGGTGTATCTTTCGTCCTCTTTTTACTAATTATATTTGCATAAGAAGAAAGGAGGCAACCATATGATTTACAGTTTTTATTTTAACATTCCTTCTATTTAATCCTTGTTCTTAACTTGTACCTATCTTGCTTTAAACATTTATTGCATGGCAACACTGAGGCCTGTTCTGAGGCGCCGATCCACTAAATCTATCTCTTAATGTATTAATTCAATTTGATAATAGGCTTGTCTTTGTACATAGATACATAGATAGATAGATTATTTACATTATGTTTGTATACAATAAAGAATTTTTTTTTATACAACTTCGAATGGCAAACAAGCTGAATTTTTTTTAATGGGTGATAGTGGAATGGTAGCCCCGCCTGTGCTATCGGTATACACCGGCGAGGTACCAGGGACACATGATAGGCGAGGATGTAAAGGCAGGTCAGTTGGCCCATCGTGACGAATTACACTAGAATAAATCGTGATAATTTCCATGGGGAACCGCGTGGAGGTCGACCTGACGAGGTATATTGCTAACAAGGGAGCAGCTAATGCCGATTACTAACAATCCCTTTCCCCCTCCCAAGAAATATTAAGGTTTATTCGAACTCGGTTCATTCGGTTAATTCGACAAGAATTAACCATGATGGTTTCCCAGGGGGAACTGCGTGGAGGTCGACCTGATAAAATATAATTGCTAGTAATTGAGCTGTTATAATCCATTACTAATAATCCCTCTCCCCCCCCCAGTCTTCAGTAATACAACAGGGTCTTAAATCAGTGGGAGTAATATTGCTCAGAGAGCAAAATGCAGGTTTTCAAATAAAACCTATGGGCAAACTACCCATACGTACGAAGAGTCCATTTTGGCGGCATGATACAAAGATTTGCATTTTTTTTTTATATACAACTTAGAATGGCAAACAAGCTGACGGCCCACCTGATGGAAAGTGGTAACCGTCGCCTATAGACATGAGCAATACCGTGGACATAACAGAGTATACTGTTTCGCCCATGAGACCCCCATGCGTTGCCATTCCTGAGGACTCAGGTGTTATTCCTCTGTACCCAGTAAATTCACTGCCCCATCTCATATCCTACCCTTCAACCCGAAACACAGCCATGCAAACACAACAGCTTCACGGTTGAAACACGAATGAGACAGAGGTGGCCGAGCAAACGACTTTTGTACAAAGTCTCATTAAAAAAAAACATTGTAACATCTTATTATGTAACTATATATTTGGTAAATAAATTATTTTTATTAATTTATTAATTAAATTGATGAAAAACATGGCTTTAATCGTGAACAGAGACGTACATATACCAAAAGATGAGTTGTTCGGTAGATTTGAAATTAGAATTAAAATAGTTTTTTTTTTAATAACACCTCTTGGCTATATTCGACAATAGACAATCCTGGCAGGCTGGTTAGAAATGTCTGTTTTTGTTT